ATTTAACTGTGATTAACTGTGATTTAACTGTGATCACAACTGTGTTGTGATCTTGGGGTCCTGGGATGGAGCCCCATGTTGGGCTGCCCACTCAGTGGGGAGTCTGCTTCTCCATCTCTCTGCCCCCCCACCACGTGTGCTCTAAGACAATTTACTCTATTTTTTTTAAAAGTAATTTTTATTTTATTTAATTTATGATAGTCACACACAGAGAGAGAGAGGGAGAGGCAGAGACATAGGCAGAGGGAGAAGCAGGCTCCATGCACCGGCAGCCTGACGTGGGATTCGATCCCGCGTCTCCAGGATCGCGCCCTGAGCCAAAGGCAGGCGCTAAACCGCTGCGCCACCCAGGGATCCCTAAGACAATTTACTCTAGATAAATGAGTTACTCCTCATTCTTCAGTTCTTTTAATGGCTTCATAATAATCCACTGTTTCTGGGTCCCATCCGGGTCCCAGGTTTCATTACCAGTCCCCTCACGATGATGTTTAGGCTGTCAATCTTTTTCTGTTTCAAATAATGCTTCAATGCACGTGCATTGCTTTTTTTTGCACGTCACTCCATTTCTGCTAACCTATCCTGCGTAGATTCCTAGAAGTGGAACTGCTGGGTCAAGTATCTAGCATGTCATCTGCCAAATTTCCCTCTGGGGTAGCATCAATGGTGTATCACCTCACAGTCTTACCTGCAAAGCCTAAAATATTTATTCTCTGTTTACAGAAAAAGGTGTCAACTCCCTCATTGCAATCCTTAAGGTCTGGCCAGCTCGGAGTCCATGGGGGAGCCAATGTCGGTGGTTTTCAATGGGCGGGGTAGGAGTGGCCCCAATCTTGTGCTCAGTCAGGTGTCCCCGTGGTTCTGCAAGGGAAGGGAGACCAGGAGACAGTGGGGGTGGCTGCCTAGGAAGAGGAGACCGGGGATTTTTGTTCTGCAGCTAGCACCCTCCCATAGCGATCAATTTTGTCCTATCATCTTCCCCTCACTTTCCCCGTTTCACACATTTGGCCTGTTAATATGCGGTGTGGGAGTTTTATCATTACTATTATTTTGCTTCCTCTTTAAGGGTAATTTTGATATTTAAATTCAGTTTTAAATTAAGTTATGACTACAGATTTACAACAATTTAAACATTTCTAGCTTAACTGGTTTCAAAGGTTACTTTTAGTCTTTTTTTTTTTAATATGAGTTTTATTTGGCCTTAGATTTTAGTTGGGAACATTTTCGCATACTTATCGCATACTTATTTTCAAAGACATAGGAATTCTCTTATATGAGTCCCTGCAAACAGAATTTTTCTAAATTTTTCACACTTGAAAGATAACTGTACTGGGTATTAAAATTCTCAAGTCATAGCCCTTTTTCTTCTCAAAACCTGGCACTGTAGTGGAGCAGAGATATCTGAAACTGGCTTGATTTTGGCTTTATTTTCTTTTGTAAATAACTTTTTTGGGTCTGTATCCTATTAGAACTTTAGTTCTATCTAAAAAACTATGCCAGAATCTATTTAGGTCTGAATCTCTATTTTTGTTTGGTCATATTAAGGTACTGCCTTGCGGCTATAACAAAGAACATAAAGTAACAGTATCTTTAAAAAGATACAGTTTTGGCACCAATCGGAGCCGGAGCAGTGGGATGCAGCACTGTCACAGATCCTGTCAGGAGCTTTCCTGAAACACTTGGCTTCCATTTTGGGATTAAGACGGCTGTTCCAGCTCCATCGCTGTGCTCACCTCCACACCTGCATCCATCCAGCGGGAAGGGGGGAAATACTGGGGACATCGTGGAGGTGGCAACTATGCATGTTTCTATCTTTTTAAAAAGTGGTTCCAGGAAACCAGGCCATGCCACGCATTGAAGCTTTCCCATTCCAGTTTCATATAACTTACTGTCCTCTTCCCTTGCTTTTTGGGTGGTTAGTTTTGACTGTTTTTGGGGCTTTTTTAAAAATTTTATTTATTCATGAGAGACACAGAGAGGGAGACAGAGACATAGGCAGAGGGAGAAGCAGGCTCCCCGCAAGGAGCCCGATGCGGGACTTGATCCCCAAGGCAGATGCTCAACCGCTGAGCCAGCCAGGCATCCCGTTTTCATCTTTTTTGATCTTTAACAAGCCATAAGAAGAAACACTGAAAGCTGCTAAACCAGAAGTCATTTTTGACTTGGAGGGACTTTGTTGTACTTACATTTATTTTACAGAGAAGGAGATGTGGCTCTCCGAGGGGATACTGCTAGAGCAGAGACAGGCGGGGAGAAAATTTCCGGGCCTGGGCTTTCTTTAGGTTCCTGATGAGGAAGTGAGACCCAAGTAAAGAAAAGGGAGCTCAGGTACAAGAGTCCCAGTCCCGGCCTTCAGGCCTGCCCTGGGGTAAGGCACATGGTGGCAATCTTAACATTTCAGTTCATCAGCACTTGAAGGGGAATGTAGAGAGGAAATCAGGCCGCGGCAACAGTGGACTGTAAATGCCAAGGGAATGTGCGAGCCACGGCACCAGACATTCGCAGTAGCCGCAGGCCAAAGAAACCTCCAGTGGGCTCTGGGATCTGGGTGCGTGTACGTAAATGAGCTGGTCTCTAAATACGCACAGTGTGGGCTTCCTTCATAACCCTTAGCCCGGGGCCTCCGTTGCCCGCACCCTTCCCCAGGGACACAGGAATCAGTTGAGGCTAGATGCTTTTCCCACTCTTCCCATCTACCTACCTACCCCACCCACCTCTGCGTCTGCTCAGAGTCATTCTCACCCTAACAGGTGCCAGGTTACCCCCTTACAGGTCAGTGACTCCTCCCTCCCGCCCTTGTCCTGTCCAGACGCCTTCTGAGCTAACCCCTTCCATTCCTTGTTGAATCCTTCTCCCCTGACTTCTTTTGGTTCTCCTTTCTTTCATGATACTAAGTTCTCCCTGTGTTGGAACCCTCTAATTTGCAACCAACCTGTCATCCTTTGCTAGAGCTCCACGGGGGACAGAACACCCAGGAACCTAGTTAGAGGGAAAATTAACCAGGGCAGGAGGGATGTTTGGGGCTACTCGCCCAGTCCAGGGAGAGGTTAATATCTTCAGAAGCACTGCGGGTCATGGGGTTTCAAGGGGCTTGGTCCAAGGGAACACACAGGGGCTTTTTGAGTGCAGGCTAATGAATAAAACGTTGGTTGTTGACCTGTGCCTCCATTTAGCAACTGTCCTCTATTTTGTCCTCTATTTTAAATCATGTAATTGGGACTTTCTGGGATGTCAGGAAGTCTGGGACTCACAGAAGAAATGGATGCAGAGTTTGAAGAGTCAGGGTTAGCACGTACATGATGGGCAGGTTCATGGGAGTCCAGTGTGCACATGTGAGGCTCTTCTGGTGTACAGTGAGGGGGGGCAGGACTCCATCCAGCACTTGGGGTCTCAGAGGATGGGTTGTGGGGAGGACAGCTTTGCTTAGGAACCAGCCAGCCGTCTCCTTCGTGTCTCCTGCCTCTCCATGTGGCTTGCCTTCATTTCTGCTGCCCTGGGCCAACTTTCTGGTGCTCCGTGCCAGGGCGGGCCAGGCATCATCGCAGTGCTTCCCTCCCCACCTCTCTCCCACACTTCAGAGACCGGCACTCTGGAAATGGGCAGTTTAGGACCTGGAATGAAATCTCAGACTCTGCCACCAGAACAGAGGCCAAGGAATGAATCAGGAGCAGCAGAGCTAAGAATGCACTTTTGGGTCGTGTCTTCTCGCTCGCACCCCGACAGACGGTTCCCAGGCCTTGAGCCTGTCTAAAGCCCCACCTTTAAAGATGTGCTGTTTCTCTGTTCATCTGACAAGGACACCTCCACCCAGGGCACAGCTTTCAGAAATAACCCTGGTTGCCAGGAGCCCTGCAGCTTCTCTCGGCCCATCAAGCTGTGGTGTCTTTGTCATGGAGAGGGCAGTGGGCTGGAGTCCTAAAGGGAAGAGGAGGGAGGGGCACCAGAACTTCCAATGGCCACAGGAACGGGTAGTCTGTCTCTGCCCGTATTCATTGCTAACCACAGGCAGAGGAACAGCTGGCATCTACCTGCAGAAACTTCAGAAGTTTCATCACAGAAGAAATCAGACTTAGGAGAAATCAGGAATGGGGATGGGACATCAGTGAGGAAGACATTTTAAGTAACTAGGAGGCCTGAGAGTTAGAAGGGGAATGTGGCTACTCTGTGATCCCATCACTTCCATTCCAGCTGTCCTTGCTGTGCTATGAATGGTCACCCCAAAAAGCCTGACTGGTCACCTCTGGCAATCAAGTATCACCTCGTTATTCCTCTGATTGCTTGGACTTTTAGCATCCGTCTCCAGTAGACCCCACAGGTCTATGAACAAGGGCTCACAAATGGACCCATTCCTGTCCAACCCTTTTACCACACATCCGCGAGAGTGTCCAGCTCAGCACCCTTCCCCGCCGCCCCTGCCCTTCTCTGATCTCCTGGGATACTTACAGCGGGGCTTCTGGGGAGGGACGAGCACCTCTTCCCTTGAATTGCCACCCGTGTTACCCCTCCTATTTATTCCTCCACAAAAAAAAAAAAAAACAAAAAAAACAAAAAAAAAAAACAACAAAAAAAACAACCCTTTCCAGGCCAGGCTTCAAGTTCCTTAAAGACAGGGGCTAGTCTTACCTACCTCGATATGCTGTCAGTTCATCCCTCCAGTTCCGTGGCTGTCAAACTCTGCCACACTCAGGAATCACCCAGAGGGCTTGCTGAAGCAGACTGCGGGGTCCCTCTGGATTTCTGACTCAAGGTGGACCCCAAGAATCTGCATGTCCAACAAGTGCCCAGGTGATACCGATGCTGCTAGTTGGGGACCAGGCGTGGAGCACCACTGACCTAGTTGAGCTCCTCCCAGATAGCTTCCTGGAGAAGCCTGCCTCCTCAGGGTGGCTTCCCAGTCCTGACTCTATCTGCTGCCCATCTTCCCTAAGTCCCCCAGAGCTGGAACTCTGTCGACACTTTGGGATGGGCGATGCTTAGTAAAATAAGAGACCGAGACACCAGGATCTTGTTAGCTGGATATATTTCATTTTTTTTGTTTTTGTTTGTTTTTGTCACAGAACACTGTTTGCAGTAGAGGAAACTGGCATTGCAGTCTGGTGGTAAAATGGCTTGTTCACATAAACCAGTACATGTTCATCCTTTAGCGCAAAAAGCCCTAATGGCGCGTACCCTATTGAAATTCAGGACATCTCCAATATTTTCTCTCTCTGTTTTTATCTTTTTTTTTTTTTTAAATAAACATTTTCAAGGTTTGTCCAAAAGAAGGCCATATAGGTTCTTGGCTAGCGGAAGACAATTCAGAACAGTTGTTGCACACTTGGACTGTCACCTTCTCCAGGCTGGCAGTTGATATCTTATTTTTTTTTCCAACTCATTTTTATTAAAAAAATAAAAAAATGCTCCAACTATCAGTTTTACAAAATCTCTAAGGGAAACACAAGAGCAAGGTGCTGAGGTAAAAAACACCTGAGGTAGCTTTTTTTTGTGTGTTTTTCTCGTTTAAAAAAATCTGTAAATTTAACGCCCTGGGCCAACGACCTCGTGTAAATTGCTATTTTCCTCCACATTTTTTTTTTTAAAAGAAAGAAATCATTTCGCTGAATATTGATGGCTTATACACCAAAATGTAAAAAGACAAAATACATTCTTTCTTTGTGGAATCTTTCTTTGTTTGGTTGGTTGGTTTGATGGGTTCCTGTTTTCTTCTTCCAAAATGCTAGGACAAGTACCATTGACTCTTGTTCTTTTGAGTAACCAAGTGTAAGTTGAGGCTGGTTTGTGTGTTTCGCTTTTGTTCCTTTTGTGTGATGTGATACTCAGAGCACTGCTTTGCCTGGGGGGTGCGTAGATACTGGGAATTGAGACAGAGGGATGAGGGATGGGGGAATTGAAAAGAATGGGAATGGAGGAGGAGGGGAGGGAGAGAAGGCAGGGGAGAGATAAACAGAGAGAGACAGAGAATTATATAGCAATATGCAAAAAACCAGTTTAAAACCTGTGAAGCAAAGAGAAATGGGTGTGTGAGCTAGACAGGGATGAAGAGAGACAGTTTCCTCTTCAGAGAGACGGTATCCCTTCTGTTGACATACACAGGTGATCCAGAACTGCCGTGAGTGTCCTTTCGAGATTTCCCTCGGGTGAATTTTGTGTGGGTGGTCTCGAAGCTCCTTACTAAACCATTAAGACCTCCCAAAGAACGACTTTATTCTTTAAAGTCTAGAAAAGCCTGCTTTCTCTTTAAAAGGAAAAAAAATTAATTGATTAAAACTTGGAGTTAGTTGAGTTATTTGATATATTATTTCTAAAATATATTAACGCTGCAGGCACCCTGTGTAACCCACAGGCCACATATCTTAACATCTTTCCCCTTCTAATATGTACACACATGTACAGAGACAATTTCCACAAACAGAAAAGGGGGTGAATTTCGCTTTGCTTTGAACACGTTCACCTATGTTAGTTCAACTAAAAGGGATAGCGTGGTGGGAGTTAAGGAGAGATCCGAGTGGATGGTGCAGTGGATGGCTGGGAAGCCTGCAGAGGCCCTGGGGGAGGCAGGAGGCCGGCCGGGGACCGGGCTGACCTCCCCCCTCCCTCCGGGCCCCGGGGATTCTCAGGGCCTCTGCAGAGTCCCCGGCGCCTCCGCAGACTTCTCATTCCTCAGGATGGTCTTTGGTTTGCTCCCGAGCTGGCTGGCTGTGTTTGGTCTCATTCTGTCAGGTGTTGGAAGGGCTACATTCATCCGTTGTTTTGCTGGTGCCTGTTGGGAGCCTCACTTGCTGCGCTGTGAGGCGACTCCCTGAGGATATTTCTGCTCCTGCTGCTTGACCTGTTGTACAATTTCCCTGATCTTGCGCTGGGCAGTCTGCAGCAAGGGAGAGGAGGGGACAGGGGAGAAAAAGGAACCCGGTTCTGAGGACAAGCGGTGGGGCCCGGAGGGTGGGGCTGGGACGTGGGGGAAGGAAGCGGGAGGCTCAGAGAAGCGTCATCTGCCTGTCGAGGCCCTCACTCTGGGGGCCTTTTCTGCCTGAAGTAAAATGCAGGGTCCCCATGCCCCCCACCCCTACCCCAAGGCAGCTGGTTGTGGGAGAAAGACATGGGACCCCAGAAGCTTCTGTGTACTTGCAGGCCAGGAGGCAGAGCCAGGGAGCCAGTGCCAGGGGGCCTTGCAGAGCTGGACCACACCCCCTCCCACTACACACACTTTGGCCCTCAGGGCTGCCCCGCACCCCCTCCTGGAGCCCGTTAGGAAGAACGGAAGTGTGATGCCGGGAAGGATGGACAGGAAACGGGTGCGGAGGAACCAAGAAGTGGCCCAGACCCTCTGCCCTGTGCAGCTGAGCGAGCCCCTCACCCCACACCTGCGCTTGGGTCCAGGAGGCCTGGGACGCAGGAGGCAGAGGGGGTGCGGCCGGGGCTCTGAGGGCAGGGCGCCTCCGGCACAGAGCATGCTGGGCACTCGGGCGCAGCTTTACTGTGGGCTTGGGCGGCCCTCACTGGGGTGGCGCAGGGGCTGGGACTGCTCTGTCCCCAGACCCAACACACGAGGGCCTCGAACAGAACCAGGCCACATGGCACTGGGTCACAGGTCCCCAACTGAAAGGGAGGAGCCCCGGGGAGGTGGGCTCCTGCAGTGAGCGAGCTGAACCCTTCCCACTGCGATGCTGGTCCCCGTACGGGGTCTCAGAGCCTGACTGGGGACCCCTGGGTGGGTCCTTGCTGGTATGTGGTTCCCAGCAGGGGAAGGCGTGACTGAGGCCTGAGGGGGCAGCAAAGGGAGGGGGGCAATGCTCTAGCCCTGCGGGGGGCTGGAGATGTGCTGGGTTTGTCTTCCAAGTGCTAGGCTCGGCCTTGACCTCCTCTAGCAGCCTGGGGAGGGCCTGCGGAGGGCCTGGGGAGAGCCTGGGGAGGGCTGAGGTGAGAAGGGGTGGTGGAGCAGTTGTCCCTGCCCTGAGGCAGTCCCTGAAGAGCACGGGGAGGTCCACCTGTGGGGGGGAGTGCAGGGGCAGGGGGGTGGCGCAGGGGTGTGTGTGTGTGTGTTTGTGTGCAGGGCCCGTGACTACCTGACAGGCTACCAATAGCTTAGAGAACTGGAACGTGACTGGTAGGAGAGACCACACCCTCACAGCACAGGTACCTGGCTAGCAAAGAAATGCCCAATGATTCTGACGATCACTTCCTCATTTTCATCTGGCGTTTGGTCACGAGGCACGATGACTTCTGCACTGGTTAAGTTCTGCAGCTCATTCACCTGGGAAGGGAGAGAGTGGTTCAGGACAGGGGAGAGCTACTCGCCTTTCCTTCAGCCTGTGCGGGGGGGGGGGGGGACGGGGGACGGACACTCACTGGGCAGCCCCGACTCCTGGAGCCCCCCTGGGGCTGAATTTTTATTCTGGAATTCCCCTCAGCAGGTTCCTGCACATGCTCCAAGGACCCGGGCTCTGCCATCATCCAGGAAGGAAAATCCCTCCTGGACACGCTCTCCGGGCGAGCCGGGAGCCCACACCACCTCTGACTCACCAGAGTAAGCTCTCCTTTCTAATCAGGCGTTGTTCTGAGCCCCACTCTTCGTTTGCACCCCTGCCTCCAAGTCTTCCTTCTACCTTCGAATTGTTAGTTTTTCTCCAGTCCCACAGTGACCCTGCTGCTCCTCTGTCCCCTATGGCCCCCCCTTCCTGCTTTCCGGCACTCCTCCCCAGCCTCAACCCACCTACACTGCACCAGGGCTCAGCCCAGGCCCTGGCCCCGGGGTGCTGAACACCCAGGTGGGGTTGCCAAGTGCTCGTGGACAGCTGACAGTCTCTGGGCGGAGATGGGGGGGGGTACACAGAATTCAGTGACTGGTTCTAAAATGACCAAATAGGGGATCCAAGGGCTCAGGATGGCTGTTTGCCCTCTTCCTACTGTAGCCTAGCTTATCCAAAGCCAGTGTGTGTGCCCTTGGATGCTGATTACATTCCTGGATATGGGGAATAATCTGTAAGCCATTGGGTTCTATTCTTCGGTATAAAAGGTGACTCATTATATCTAGAACTTGGCTTTGAGTCCTTGATAAGAGCTTCTGCATAAAGAAAACAGCAGGTACGTGCATGTGCGCACCTGTGACTCTAGAGGTCCCCATATGCCTGCCACTCCACACGGTCCCTCTGCTAGCGTGCACAGGCTTTATGGGAACTTCTGGGGGAGGTCATATCCCCGCCAGGTGGGTATGTCTCATGTCTGACAGCCTATCTGCTGGTTCCTACAGGCTTCAGAGTTAATTCTCTGTCACTTTTCAAATGACTTTGTGTTGCTGCCACCTTCAGGTTAAAAGCTGTGGATTTTTTTTTTTTTTTTTTAATGTTTCCTTTCTCACCCACCACCCAACTGTGAAACTAGCTCCCCTATAACAGATGGGCAGGTTTGGGAAACCGAAGACAGAATCTACAGGAGGGAGAGTCTGAAAAGTCAGAGGAGAGTGTAGGATATCAGGCCCCACGGGCCTCTCAGCATGAATTCAGAGAAGGACATACACTCTGGAGGGGGCTCTATTCCCTGTTATTTTCCTGCTGCTGTTGGGTGTGGGCTTGAAGGGGGCAGGAGGCAGCCTCCTTGTTGTCTTTAGGGAGTAGGGAGCTTCATTTTCCAGCATGTAGCTGAGATGCCGTATTTCTGGGTGCAGAAAGAACCCTGGTGTTTTTGGTGGCCTGGCTCGGCACCATGGATTTGGGGCCCTCCGCTCTGAGTCACATCCTTGAAGAGCCAACAGAGGTCTGAGGGAAGTTAGGCTAGGCTGGGGCAGGGAATCAGCCCAGGAGATGAAGCCAGCTCAGAGCAAACTTACGGTTTTGCCGCCCTTGCCGATCACCCGGCCAGCTGTAGAAGAGGGCACTCTGATGTGGGCTTCCAGCTTCACCTCCTCTTTGGGGTTAAAGAAGTTTTCTTCTTTCAGTTTCCCAAAGATCCGCCCCTGGGCCTGAGAGAGGAAGGCATGACCGGTGAGTCTGGGCTGCCAGTCGGCACACCTGTGGTGCTGCTGCTCGAACCAGCAAGCCCAGGCCCTGCACACCCTCAGCCCCAAATTCCGTGGGGCTGGACACAGGGAAGCTGCGCGCCCTGCTCCCTCCTTCAGAGACCTAGTGCTGCTCCTGCCACCTCCAAGCAACATGCAGGGGACCGCGGCCTCGAGGAAGCCCTCTGTGTGGGGCTGGGGCGCAATCAGGCCTGATTTCTGTCTCCCTAGCACCTACAAATGTTGGGCTGAATGAACCTGTGCGGGGCGGTCTTCACTTCCTCCCCCACAGTATGTTTATGCCCATGGAAACCGAAGGATGGAGGCGAGGTGTGTGGTGCAGTGTGGCTGCTTTTTGATGTCTTAACCCCAGAACCAGTGCATCTGTGAGGTTATGGTTTTAAAAAAAAAGCCTTTAAAAAATTGAGATACAATTTATATCACCTAAAATTCATCATTTTCAAGTGTACACTCCAGGAGTTATTGGTGTATTGTTTTTTAGGTCCATCCACACCGGAATCATTCCCATTGAATTTTAGGCTCTGGTGGAAAAAACACTGGACTGGAGCAGGGTGCTGATGAAGCAGGTGCAGCATGCATCAGAATTTCACTAATTTTTATAGCTAACATCCTATTGAGCGGATAGACCACATTTCATTGATCTACTCATGAGTTGAAGGGTTAATGTTTTCTTCTCAAGTCCTAAATATTTTAAAAAATATTTTATTTATTTATTCATAAGAGACATACAGAGAGAGGCCAAGACACAGGCAAAGGGAGAAGCAGGCTCCATGCAGGGAGCCCAATGTGGGACTCGATCCCCGGACCCTGGGATCATGCCCTGAGCCAAAGGCAGACGCTCAACTGCTGAGCTCCCCAGGCGTCCCAAGTCCTAAATATTTTTAATGATAAGGAGTATCCTTTTATAAATATGTTCCTGACTTTCAGAAAACTCAATTTCTAATTTCCCTAGGAGAAGGGCGAAAGTAAAAATGCACCTGACTAAACAACATCCAACAAATTCCTGCTATGTCCCCTTACACCCCATGGTTAGGCCCCCGTAGCCTGAAAGGTATAAGTGACTCAAGAAGTCTGAGACACCTGTCCTCCAAACCATGGCTCAGGAGGCCGAGATACCCCAGAGGGGGCACCACCTGAGGTGGGTACTGACAGACAATCTACTTTTCCATGGAAGAGAAGGGAAGGAGAGCTCCAAATGGAACAGCCTGGAGGGAGGTGAGACAGGGTGAGTCTGAGACCAGTGAGCAGCAGCAGAAAGGGCAGCGGAGGCAGGGCCTCCCAAAGAACAGTCCTGAACATGCCTCTGAGGTGGCTGCTACCTGCGTAAGGCCCTCCATGACTGCGGGGCCCAGGTGGCCCTTGGTACTGACCTTGAACTGGGCTTCCGGTGGACCGGTGATGATGACCATCCTTTCGCTGACGTCTGGGCCTTCCGCTGGGGCAATCTGCAGTTTACAAGGCAAGAGGAAAGTGCTGCTGCCAGGCTGTGCTCCCCATGCCCCTCTCGTTTGGGTGCGTGGCGCACACACCTAGCCAGGGGATGATGGGGCTTCTGCCTTTGCCCCTGCTGCCTCCACTCTGGGTATTAGGAAGTGACCACCATGGTGCCCAGCATCAAATCTGGGTCTCCGGCTGCCCAGGCAGACTTGGAGGCAGGGCAAGTAGTTACTGCCTGTCCCGACCCTGAGCACCGGCAATGACTGGCCTCCCAAGGGAGTCAGGAGGAAGAGGAGCTGTGGGCTCCGCCACCCGACCCAGGCCCCAGAGCGGAGGAACGGCTAGTCCACAGACCACTACTGTGCAGCCAGCTTGCAGGAGAGGTGCCTGGATCCTAACTCTGCTCACAGAGGCGGTTGGCTGCAAGGGACAGTTGAGCTAGAGCACAGGTGGCTAGCACCAGCTTGTCCAGGGTACAGGAACTGAGTGAGGGGCAAGGACACCCGGGTCCCAATGTCCGCTCTGCAAACCCCTCCCCTCCCTGGACTCCGTTTCCTCATCTGTGAAACATGGAGGTGAACCCCGGCAAGCTCAACACCCCCTCTAGCTCTCGCCATTTGTGAGTCTAGGTCTCTTGTAACACAGCTCAAATGACAGGCAAGCACGTCTTGTTAGAGCCTCATTACAGATTCTTCTCTGTATAGCCCGCCTTGTTCCAAAAACCATGAAGGTAGCTTTGAAAATAAATATGTCGTAGCAAAAGCTAAAGTTAATTTAAAGTAAAATGAGTTAAAGGTACTCCAGACATTGAGAAATGAGCCAGGAGTGAGGTTAGTATGTAAATGCATCTCATAAGGTCCTATGCACCTGCCTCAGGTGGGCCGCAGAGTCAGTTTTAAGCTTAGAAGAACAAAATCAATAAAAGAAACTTCATTTACAGGGTCACAGTGTTCCTAAAGTCAGAAAAAGCCAGCGGCTCAGGAGAGGTACCATCCTGAGACTGATGATGTAAGTCACCACCAACGGCTGTGCTTCAAACGTGCCCCCCTTGCCCCGCAAAGACCTCCAATTCCACGGGGGTTAGTTTCTAGCCCACAGCCAAGGCCAGGCTCCATCCGTGAGCCTCAGGTACCGTACGGCCGCTGCAACATTGTAGTGATGACGCATCCCAGGTGTGCTCTGGAATCAGAGATCTTCCTGGGGGCTCTGGCTCTGACACTGCAGCATGAGGATGAACGTGAGGCACAGGTTCCCAAGCCCTGAGCTCCTTGGGAGGACTTCCCTTACATGGGCAGACGACCTGCCAGCCTTCGACTGTGTAGGGCAGCAGCCTCTGCTGAAAAGCCCAGATCACAGTGTCCTCCCAGAAGGTCACACAGACTGGTCCTTGAGACCACTGGCAGGAACGCCTGCCTCTATTTCTGGATCCACAGTTGGCATTAAGTCTGGCCCTTATCTCAGAGGAGACGAGAGGGACTGGAGCATGGACACGGTGGTTCCCACCCTACCCACCCAAACCCAGAGGGGCTAAAGGGCTAATTCATGCTCTACGCTGACCAAATCCCTGCTGCTGCCATCACTGTGCGCCTCCCAGTGACTCCTGGTTGCCTTGCTCAGAGTCTGAAACAAACACCCCGTCTCTCCTCTGACGCTCACCAGCCCAGACCACAAGCCTAAGAGCTACTCGTGTGCTCCTGTGGTTTGGAATGATGTTCCACCGGGAGAGCACCAGGGAGGAGGATCCCACCTTATCATGACTGAGGCAAATGGGGCCCGGAGGTAAGCAGGGGCTGGAGCGAGGGCCAGGAGTTCGTGTGGCATTCTGAAGCCTGCTGCCCTGATGCTCCCAGGGTAGGCAAGCAACAGGAGCCCAGCTCCGTCTGTAACCGGAGCATCTGGGGGTGCACCTCCCCAACCTCCCCTCTGCTCACCCCCCGCCCCCAGCACTCAGCTCCCACTAGCGTACAGCTCTCTGCCTGAAATGGCAGCATCAAATGTGCCTCTTGCTGCAGCCCCCTGAAGGCTGACAAAGCAAGAACGGAGGGTTCTTTGTAGTGAGATTATCCATTTTGCTGTAGAGAAAATGCTTTCAGAGTCCTGTTGAAAGTAACAAAAACCAGACTGGTTTTTAAAAGCAGGAAATTTTTCTCACAAATACTTGGCTTCCCTGGTTTTCTTTCCTTCATTGCTATGCACAGAGGCAGGGGCCAGAGAAGGAGCAGGGTGCTGATGAAGCAGGTGGTCGGTGCAACATAAACGCTGACTGGGCCTGACCAGCCTGCAGAGCCCTTTCTGCCCCCATGGTCCCGCCCTGCTGGCTCTGCCCATCACAGAGGTCGTGAGCAAAGTGACATACCACCACTCAACCTTGTTGGGATATGGATGGGCAGTGGGGACGCTGTAGGGCGATGCCCAAGGGAGTGCTCGCTCTCTCTCTCCTATCTCCTCTAGGCCTGTTGGGAATGATTCCAGTGTAGGGCTCTGGTGGCTCTGGTGGAAAAAACACTGGACTGGAAATTGGGTCACCTGGTTGGATGTCAGCTCTCACATTCTTTACCTTTGTGGCCTCTGACAGTTAATGAAACCCTTTGCGCCCCGGTTCCTCACGGGCAACACTATATGGAGAGTTGCTGCTGCAGCCAGCCCAGCAGGGGCTCAGAACCCTGCAGGGCAGCGGATGAGGTCACAGCGGGTCCTGCCACTTGTGTGCTTCAGCCTGGTCCCCGTGCCTAAGTCCCACTCTTCTCAAGGGATACAGGGAGGATGTGATGTCACAATCCTTCAAGCCCCTTGTGGTTGAAATCATCTAGTTCGGTCTTCACCGCCTCTCAGACCACAGGACTGGACACTGGGGCGGGGGGCGGGGGGACAGGCAACCAGCCCAGCGTACCTGTCCCGTCCGTGGGCCGGGGTCCCACCTGCCACAAGCCTGCTGGGAGCAGAGGCCTCCGTGTTCCACACTGCAGGCCACCCGCCCCTCGGGGCTCCCGCCCAGGTTCTACACTTTGCAGGTAACAGAGGAGAAATGCTTTTTCTAAACAGAATTCCTTGGTGGTCTCAGGGCAGTCCTCGTCCTGTGCTACTCAGAGTGTTTTGTTTTTGCTTTTCTCCAGCACACTTGCTGTGGGAGAAATTCCAGCTCTTCTTGAGGAGAAAGTGCAAGCATTCTTTCTCTCCAAGTCATGAGACTTCTCGTTCGGAATTCCGGGTTGTCCCATGGTAGCAAATTACTTTACGTAACAACGGAAACTCTGTTTTCTAAAGTGTTTCATGAGGCTTGGGACGTGCTCAGCATTCTGTCTGTGAGTCAGAGCCGATAGCTGGGCTTGGAGCAGGACCAGGGTCGAAGAATCCTTCCCTTTCACAACTCCTGGGACGCTTCTTCACAGGGCGCCCGAAGGGGCAGGATGTGGGTGCGTAACTGCCACCGCCACTCGCGACCATTCCCATAAATCAAGGGGCCTTCCTTCCTGAGCTGCTGTTCCGTCCCAGGGCTGCCTGTCGGGCTGTGTCCCCAGCTTTTGTTTATCTACAGGGTTATCGCTTTCCAAAGAGTTTTTCATTCAAACTATTTTCTTGAGGTTCAGGGGTGTGTGAAGCAGAGACTAATTAAAGCATCAAAACCCTGATAAGGGCACAGTGTAAACAAGGCTCTGCTGGCATAGCCCCCTTGGCTCGGGAAAGGCCCCAGCCTGTCTGCACATTTACAGTTCTTGAGAAGAGGGTTGCAGTAGCCCAAAGAGGACGGGGTTGCCTTAGGTGTTATAGACGTTACTAATAATTTTTCCAATTTCATCACCAGTTGAACGAGAAAGGAAGGAGAGATCTAAAGAGGAGAGGCGATGGCATTAACTGGCCAGACCCCGCGGGCTCCTGCCCCTGGAATCAGCATGGCCCAGGAGCAGCAGAGGGAACAGGGGACGCGGGGCGGGGGGGCTGGTGAGGGAAGAGGGTGGCTGTCGAGAGCAGCTTTACCTTGATGGAGGCCCCAGCGAATCTAGCCAGCTGTTTAATGTGCGCCCCTTTCTTCCCGATGATAGCACCTACGGCCTGGGTTGGGATGAAGAGATTCACAATCTCCTGCTCTGGATACTGGAAGGGCGACAGAAGACAAGATGTCATTCCCACTGGGGTTGTGCCTTCAGGTGCTCGGCAGGCAGGAACCGAGCATCTACCACGAGCCATGTGCTCTGACGGCCCCAATGCCCAAGGAAATGGCCACAATGGTGCATGCAATTCCCTTGTGCTCTAGGGCTCTGCAGGCGAGAAGCCTAAGGAATGAACCTGAACAGTGAGACCTCCTGAGCAGCTCGGAGTCTGCTGGATTCAGAAAGCGGACTGTTCACAGGTTTTCTGCCACAAACAAATGTGCTATGTACCGCTCCTGGGTCTCTATCCAAGAGGTAAAACCGTTATTAAATATATCCCTGGCCTGAGGACGGAGTCCCGAGGCACCTGGTGAGGAAGAATGGGAAGCTACTCGGCACCTGGGAGCCACAAATGGTATTTTCACCAGAGTGGCCTCGTGTTCAAAAGATAACAAGTAAACCTGCCCTGACCAGGCCGCCTGGTGACAGCCCGGAGAGACGTGGGCAAGGCTACCAGGGGTCCTCACTCCAGGGGTCTGTGGGAATGACACGACCCCCACTGTTAGACTTTCCTCAGAGACATTTGGAAACTCTGTTCTTCGGCTCGACAATGCCTCCTAATTTGGCCTCTTGATCATTCACACGTGCCAGCTTCCTGCCACCTCTGGGTTTGTAAGCATCGGCAGGATGGCTGCACGGACGCATCAGCGCTCTGAAGATCGTCAGCGCGCCCCAATGCTGGGGTAGTTTGATGTGCGATACCCCATGCTGTGTCGCTCCTGGGGTGACTCACACCAGGAACATTTGCCGGTCAGTCTGCCAAGGCCCTTGCGGCGCCCACCACAGGACAGGGAAAAACTGGCAGAGGGGGCGGCCCTGGGGGGACACTTACGGAGTGGTGGTGCGGGAACGGGCCAAACTGGTGAGGGGGGTACAAGCTGGAGAAGTATCCGGAGTGGGTCTGCAGCAGGAAAGAAACAGTTGGGTCAGTCAGCTGGTGCTCATGGGGACACTCCCCACGCAGGGAGGCAAGACTCCTGCACACAGCACAGGCTCCTCGCACCGGCACATCTGCACCTGCCCATCGGCAGCTCAGATCTCTGCTGCACCCCCACCCCCTCCGCAGCATGGAGCGCTGGGCTGGGTTTTTGGCCGCTGAGCGGCGCCACGCCAGAGGCCCCAGGAACTTGCCACCATGGGAGTGAGGGCACACGCACACTCCTTTAACCTGTCCTCCCTCAGATGGGCAGGCCCAGTGGGAAGTCCTGATGGGACCACAAGGCACAGAGATGGTGGGCCACTATCAGGACGTAGCCAGCGAATGTGTTCCCAGGAAGCTGGGGCCATGAGCTCCCTTAGAGAATTTCGGAAGGAATGACAAGATTGAGGATGGAGGAACTTTGAGAAAGAGGTTGGGAAAGGAAGGAAAGAAAATGAGTGAATAATCAGCATCATGTGTGAGTGTGTGTGTGGGTACAGGAAGGTAGATGTACACAGAAAACAACAGAACTATTAAGAAAATAACATTTTATTATTATTTTTCAAGATTCTATTTATTAATGAGATACACAGAGAGAGAGAGAGAGAGAGGCAGAGACACAGGCAGAGGGAGAAGTAGGCTCCATGCAGGGAGCCCGATGTGGGACTCAATCCCAGGACCCTGGGCAGACACTCAACCACTGAGCCACCCAGAAGCTCCAAGAAAATAACATTTAAAAAAGCTGCCTTTTACTGAATACCTACTGTGTACTAGGCACTGTGCTAGAGACTTTATTCATAGAGTCTTAATCCTCACAGCAGGCCTGTACGACAGGAAGAGGTTTGATTTCCTATATTCCTATAGGCAGGATGCTAAGTGCATCAGTGTGGTCTAGTTAAGTGGGTCTGACATAAGGTCACAAAAATGTAGGCATGCCTGTCACAGGAAGGGAGGTCACCATGGAGCCAATGCCTGTGGGCCCAACCTGCAAGATGACCTCGTAGGTTTCTGATGCTGGTCAGACACCAACTTTTGCCTGATGGCTCCTAAACAAATTTCATGGTGTTCTCAGTCTCCCAGATCTCCAGCTGGACTCTGAGCTCCAAATCACAACTTCGCCCTATGTCTCACTAGGGACAAAATGAAACAGTCTTCCTATCTGAGCTGGACAGTGGAGTTCTGGCCTCAGAGGAAAGGAGGTATGGACACGGGGGGGGGGGAGGCCTCCCCCAGGGGTACCTGAGGTGCCTACAGAGCTCTGCTCAGGGGAGGGAAGCTTTTGCTCTCAATGTCTCGGAAAGAGGCTACAGTGATAGCTCATAGCCACAAGAGGGGGCTACGAGATCAGCATTCTCTGGGCGATCTCCACATCTCCCTGGAAGCTGAGTACAGAAGGCTTTCCTGGTCCTGCCCCTTCCTTGAAGAGAGTTCAGTTCCAGACCCTTCATGCAGGTCCCTGTCCTGAGTCATGGAAGGTGAGGGGAGAATGCTTGTGGCTTTCTGCCCAAAGTTCTGCCCTGGGGGAAGGATGCTTCTTCCCCCTTCGTCTTGCAGGACAGCCTTTGCATCAGGCCTCAGAGCAGCAATGCTTCTCAATTGTTATTTACCTTTTCTTCCCAAAATTCTGAGACCAAGAGTAGACCGGCCACACTGTGGCTCCTATTCTGAGTTCACACACTCTCAACATAAACACTGTTCCAACTGCAGATCTAACCCAAGTGGTAGATTTGGGTGAGCACTGACCACTTGGGTTAGATCTTCACCTCCCAGGAGGAGGTGGCCTCTGAGCTGGGACCCATGGTGAGGACAGAACCCCACCTAAGGCACTGGACCTTCTAAGCGGTGTTCATATAGATGCTGAGCCAGGAAAGGGGTTGGCTCTTGAAAACTAGAAAAGAGGCCAGTATTAGAAAAGCAAGTAACAGAAGACCGCTGTGAATGACGACAGGCAGGCAGGTTGTGGGCCTGGCTTTGAACATGGGTTAGAGCCTACGTACAACGGTGCCCCTGAATGATGTAACATGGCACTCAGGGAGGTGACAGGAATAAAGAATCTATGGTTGGGTGCTATATGGGCTGGATGACGAGTAGTAAATGAGCACTGACCATAATGGACTGTATGGCTTACAGCACACTATTTCCCAACCTCCCAAGCTGAAATGGAGTCCTGATCTTAAATGGAAGGTTTTCAAAACAGGCTTTGTCATAATGATCAGAGAAATCACCCACTCATGACTTCAATAAATGTTCTCTTGAATGGGAAGGGAAAGGAGGTTGTAGCCATCAGATGAACCAGAGGCTCAGGGAAGGGAGAGGCTGGTATGGAACCCCACCCCCTACTTGGCAGTTGGCCTCACACTGTCCCCGTTTGAGGATTCCCAGTTATTTTACAAAGGAGAACCTACTTTAGTTTTGAATATTTTAGAAGCATCAGGACACTGGGGAGGGGGCAAGGGACGTCACAGTAAAGGTGACCCTGCCCCCTGCCAACAGAGTCAACAAGGACGGTGTGGTCATTATTATCCACTGGTTTTTGTTACATTCGCAGTTTGAGAGAAACTGGTGTCTGCTCTTCCTGTCTGCTTGATTGTGCTGGGGTGTGGGTAGATACCAAGTGCATTTGTAAAAATTAAAAAGGGAATTATAAATAGTTGGACCAGCTTTTCCCTGGAAGAAATGCAGCATCCTTCGTTCCAAGCTGCTATGTATGGCCATAATCATGATGCCAGATTTAAGTGATACACTGAAGCATAAAGAAATTCAAGGGTGGAAGAGTGAGGCTGGGAAATGGGTAGTGGACAGGGCGAGAGTCAGGCATACAAATTATGTTCAAATACTGAAACAACTTTAGTGTGAAAACAGACTGATGCCACATTGCAAAGATGGTGGATGCTCTCCCTAGGAACCGGGGAGGTGGACTTGGGCCTGCGGGGAGGGAGTGGATTTGGGCAGAGGGGTCAATGTCATGGACAGAAGTCTCTCAGATTCAGAAGGTACACTGTTCTACTCCAGCTTGTCAAATGGCCTCCCACAACAGCTGCTTGTCCACCTCGGTGTTGTCAAGGGACAACCTTAGTCGCTGACGAAAACCAGAAATTGTTAAGCTAGCAAGAGGCAGAGCTGGGACTGGAGCACAGAGCTGTGTCTGACTCTGCAGCCCAAGATCTCAACCACTACAACCAACGCTGCCCCCACCTGGAACATTCCAAATTCATGGGTTCGGGTGAGGCCCATGGCTCATGTTATGGAAGAACTCCCCTAAGGACTCTAATGTGCCCTCTGTTGAGTTTATTTAAATATATGAACAAACAATTAAAATTCATCAGATATATATAGCGAATCAGGAGCATGAAAGACGGGAGCAAAGATGAACAGGCAAACAAATGACCTCAGTGAATTAATTCAAGAAAGAGGAAGAGCTTTTTAAAAAAATGTCTCATTTGATTTCTTAGTGAAATTCAAGATGACAGTTCCTTTACACATAAGAAACGGCTATGAGAAAAAAATAAAGGAGAGACAGATTGATTTTGGAAGGCAATCACTCAACAGAGGCTGTATACATAGCCGAGAAGACACTCCTTTAACCCAACAGTGCACTGGAAGATCAACCCATGCAAAACAAAAAGCAGGAACCAGACATGAGAATAGAGAAGAAATTGATGGAATGAGCACTGGGTGTTAAACTATATGTTGGCAAACTTAATTTAAATGAATGAATGAATGAATGAATGAGGGGGCAGGAATAGAGAAGATGTATGATCCATAAAATGGGAGTTCCGGAAGGAGAAAATGGAAGTGGAGGGAACGGAATACCAACATGAAGTACATCAGCAAGAGATCTTCCTGAACCAAAGAAAAACCTGAGTCTTCAGACCAAAGGGCTAAGATTCAGATTTCTGAATTCCAATGGGGAAGGCAAAATATTAAAAAAGGCAAAAAAACTTAGAAGGAGAAAAAGCTAACTACAAAATAAAGAGAATCAGGCTTGTAGCACACCAATCTGAAAAACAAAATACTAAAAGTACTGTCTTCAGAGTTCTAAAGGAACTATGACTCTACAATTTCTAGACAGCCAGTTTAAGTTTCATTCATGTGTGAGGGGTAAAGAAAGGCATTTTCAGATCTAGAAAGGTTTAGAAGTTATGCTACTTATGTACTATTCCTGGAAAAGGTTGTTTAAGGAAGTATTCCTGACAAACTAACAAAAAAAAAAAAGCCCCAAATAACTCAAAAAAAAAAAAAAAAAAAAGAGAGAGAGAGAGCATATGAAGCGTAAGACACCATCTGCAGTGAGCAAAGTAACCAGTTACGGTTTAGTTAATCCTAAACTGTAGATTATGAGATTGTGTATTCATTAAGAAAGCAAGCTTAATAATTTAGAATAAAATTCCAGGTTATTTGTAGAGTGAGCTGACTTAAACACACTGAACAAACTTTGTTACAATAAAGAATTTGACAAAACCATAATCATAGTGGGAAAACAGCAAAGTGCTTCCATCATGTAACATCATACGGATGAAAACAATTATATAGATGATATGAGCCACCAATTAGAACCCCGCTTTTATAGCTAAAGACACAACTCTGAGCCCATCAGAGAAGGCACATCTGTCCAAATGCCCATGAATTAAAAAACTGATTATACTTAAGTCCACAAAAATCAGAAATGCTCTGATAACACTGTCTGAATACAAAGTATGGAAAACAATTCCAAGATAATGGAAAAGAAACCATTAACTTCTTAGAAGTTTAGAATAAACAAAGCCCTAGCAAATTTGATTAAAGAAAATAAAGAAATAAAGGGTCCCTGGTGGGCTCTGTCCATAGAATACGAGACTCTTGATCTTGAGGTTGTGAGTTCAAGCCCCATGTTGAGGGTAGCGTTTATTAAAAAAAAAAAAAAAAAAAAAAAAAAACGAAATAACAAAAAAAACTTAAAAATAAAAAAGAGAGAAAACACAAATATACAATGCTAGGGATTACAAGAGAGTAATACACAAGTCTGGGTATTTATTTATCTATTCATTTGACAAAGAGAGAGAGCACAAGCAGGGGGAGTGACAGGCAGAGGGAGAGGAAGCAGCAGATTCCCCACTAAGCAGACAGCCGGACATGGGGCTCTATCGCAGGACCCCAAGATCATGACCTGAGCCGAAGGCAGACGCTTAACCAACTTAGCCACCCAGGCACCCCAAGTTTGGGGATTTTAAAGGCTAATGGCCTGCTCTGTACACGTTATGCCAACACATATGAAAATTAGATGAGATGAATACTTTCATGGGAAAATAAAAATCAACACAACTAAGTAAAAAACATATAAGAAACTGAAAAGTTTATGTGAAGCAAATAAAAGGTGGTGGCCCAGATGTTTTATGGATAGGTCTTATCAAATCTTCAAGAAACAGAAAAGTCCTACATATTCTTTAATTTTCCAAAGCATATTAAAAGTTGGTCATCTTTCCAATTCATTCTTTGAGAAAAAAGTAATCCTGCTGTTAAAACTGACAGGATTGTTACAGTGTAGACAAAGAGATGAATGGAACAGAGTCAGGCAGATGATTAAGTGAGAATTTAGTGTAGGACAAACTCGAATTTTAAACTGAGTGATAAGGGGATCCCTGGGTGGCGCAGCGGTTTGGTGCCTGCCTTTGGCCCAGGGCGCGATCCTGGAGACCCGGGATCGAATCCCACGTCGGGCTCCCGGTGCATGGTGCCTGCTTCTCCCTCTGCCTGTGTCTCTGCCTCTCTCTCTCTCTCTCTCTCTCTCTCTGTGACTATCATAAATAAATAAAAATTAAAAAAAAAACTGAGTGATAAAATAGTATAGCATTCAAAAAATGATTTCAGGAAACCTGGCTATCCATTTGGGAAAAAAATCAAATTAGACTCTTTTGTCAAACTATTAATCAAAATAAATTCCCTATGGATTACAGATACAAATACAAGTAACAATTCTCAAGAACCAACAACTAAAACTTACTTTAAGAAAACATGGGAGGATATTTTTACAGTCTTGGATGGGAGACTTTTTTCTTTAGCATGACAGCAAAGGCCAGAATCCACACAAAATATCACTGATTTAACTACCTTACTTCTTAAAAAATTTCTACATGAATTCTGGTGAAGGGAAATTTGGGAGAATGTAAATTAGCACATACCCTTGGATACAATAATTCCAGTCTTAGAGAATTTACTTTCAGATATACATTTGTGCCAAGACTTATGGATAAGAATATTTATTTTGATACTACATGTAGTAGAGAAAATCTGGAAACAAAACAAATGTCTAAAAATAGTGTGCTGGTAAGGAAAGTTATAGTAAATTCATACAATGGAATACTATGTAGCCATTAAAGAGAATTAGGTCTAGCTATGAAAAAATGCTCATAATAAGTAAAACAACAACAACAAAAAACCCATGGAATTCTGTATGACATTATTGCATATATAGTTTTGAATAATATGATCATATATAGGCTGATAGAATTTTTTAAAAGTGTAAACATAAAGGTGCTATACTTCTGGGGAGTGGTTGTTGGGTAAAATTTGGGTAAGATAAGGCAGGTCAAGGGAAATGTCCACATTTTACTTTATACAACTTGTTAAAAATACATGTATTTTAAATTATTATGGCACAAGATACTATGAATAAGGCAAAGAGAAATGACAGCCTGACAGAAAATATTTACAACACGACAAACAGCTAATTGCCTTAAAATGTAGTCAGCTGTTACAAACCATTAACAAAAAGATGGAAAATAAAGGTAATAACAATAGCAGCTATGTTTACATAGAAATTATGTGCAGGTTTTAAAATTATTATTATTATTTATTAATGAGAGAATAGGGGGGGTGGGCAGTGGGCTGAGACACAGGCAGAGGGAGAAGCAGGCTCCATGCAGGGAGCCTGACCTGGGACTCAATCCCGGAGATCCGGGATTACACCCTGGGCTGAAGGTGGCGCTAAACCGCTGAGCCGCCCGGGCTGCCCTTACGTGCAGGTTTTAACTTATTTAATAACCCTTAAAACAACCCCATGATACCAGGGTCATCAAGATGCAAATAGGTTAAGTCACCTGCCCAAGGTTAAAAATAGCAAGTGATAGTGCAGAGATGCAAATGCAAGCAGTCTCTAGAACCTGTACTGCCTCTCAAAAGACTGATGGGCAAATGACACAGAGAGACAATTCATTAGAAGGGGAAAAATGGCCAATAAAACTGTTGAGCCTTATGATAACAAAAGAAATGTTTATTTTAAAATATTAGATTTTACAGACTAATTAATTACATGAGTAATAAAGAGTATGGGAGAAAAAAAATCCCTGTCACACACTGGTAGGAAGGAAAACTAGTGTATCTTTCATGTATCAAATTTATTTATTTATTTATTTATTTATTTATTTATTTATTTATTTATTTATTTATTTATTTAGATTTTATTTATTTATTCATAGAGTCAGAGAGAGAGAGAGAGGCAGAGACACAGGCAGAGGGAGAAGCAGGCATGATACAGACAGCCCGATGTGGGACTCGATCCAGGGTCCCCAGGATCACGCCCTGGGCTGCAGGCGGCGCTAAACTGCACCCACCGGGGCTGCCCCATGTATCAAAATTTATATATTATGTATCAACATTTATGTATTTTATAATAATACATTATGTATAAAATTTATACATCCTTAGGGCTCAGAAATTCTATTTCTAGGAATTTATTCCAAGGAAATAACTGGATAAAAGAGCCAAGATGTATATATAAGGATTTCCACAGCAGAGTGGAAAATTTAAATATATATATTAAATATGTTATATATACGCATATATATAAATTGTATACACATATACACCCACATACATGCAAACACTGGTTATTTCGACATTGAGAAACAACTTGCACTTTCTACAATTCTGTATTATTAGCTTCTTAAATACTATGCATATATTACTTTCATTAACCAGAAAATAATAAAGAATAAGTTTTCATACATACACATATGCTTCCAAAGCTTCAGAGGTCAGAGACCAACCCTGGCATGTGTAAGCTAGCTACGAGGAGGTACAGAGACTTCCTGACCTTTGGATGCCCAGAGTAAAAGTACTAGCTTGTGATGCATAAAAGCAAAGAAATACCCTAGAGGTTCCTGGAAATCTGAAAGCCTACATGACAGGAAAACAAGTATTTAAAGCATGCCCACCACTCCCATCCTACCCTATCCTCCTCAGATTCTCTAAGTGTGGCTTTAGGGGCCAGTCCTAGGTCCCACATAGGCAGGAAGTCAGGGCCACCTCCATGTCCTGCACTTTCGCAGCTACCTCAGGGAGATGTCTGATCCCTGCCCCAGGGAACCATATTGTCGTAGACAGTTGGGGCAACTATGTGCTCTGGATTAGAATTTACTCTTGGTCTATGGGATCAAGATCAGAAGTTCACGGCTTTTAGCTTTATAAAGAAAGTAAAATCTATTTTATGAAGAACTTATTTTAGTAAAATGGTTATCTTACTGTTGTAGTAAAAATCTCAGATGAAAGGAAACTTTCCAACTGTCAAAATTTATTTTCAAGTTTAGAAAATATTCTTCTATCACATGATAGCTAACAGCTTCTCTTCTGGTTTTAGTATAGGGCACAGTGGCTTTGTCTCGTTTCTACAGATAACTCAAAAAGCTACTAGGAATTCTCATACAGCAATGCCTACACCAGAGACCACATCTCAAAAGAAAGGAGTGTTTGCTACAGTAATTAGGCTGTTTGCAAAGAATTAGGTTGACGAACAATTAAAACAGTACAAACATTGGAGGAAAGAAAGTTTGCTTAAAAAATAAGCAATATGTATAGAAAAGAATTAGGAGTGAAAAAAAATAAGCTGTCAAATATCCTGAACCCAAATTTGACAACGTATTGATCTATAATGCTTGTATTTGGAAGCAACAATTAGAAAACTCAAAACATTCACATTTCTTTTGTTATTAACTATGACTCAAATAATAAATACTTATTGAGAACCTACTAAATGCCAGGCATTGTGCAGTGTTTAGAAACAAACGCTGTGTATTATTTTCTTTTAAAAACTGCCTATTAATAAAATATGATGCATTTGAGTTATAGACACAGGTGATATATATATATATATATATATATATATGAAAGAGTCATCCTGGTACCCTATTATTTCATTTATATGAACAATACTCATGAAGATTCTTATTTGAGCTAACAGATCTTCTTTTTATAAACAAATAGACTTCTAGTTAGTGAATTTGCTAGCACTGTAGTTTCTTTCCTAGGTATGCCATATACTGTGTAAGAGCACATATTCAGAGGATGGTTTAATAATATTTATCTGTCCATTAGGAAGAAGTCCCAAGAAATGTTGGATTTATCCTACAATCACTTATGATTATGGCCTCCAAATTAAAGCTTTAGCTCTCATTCAACATAGCAGAGTAATGCTGCCGCCTGGGGGTGCCCAGAGCATGAGCAAACCTCTGGATGCTGAGCTACTTACAGCGAAAGGGTGGTAAGGGGGAGCGGGGGGAGCTCCTCGGGGCCCTGCTGGTGGAGGCAGCACGGATAGTCCTGTTGAAAAGATGCCAAGTGCGCTGAGGTTCAACCCCGGGATCAGATTGGCTTGTTGCTGGGAACAGAAATGGAGAAAAAGATGAGGGGAGGAGACCAGAGAGGCCCAGCTTGCCTGGGTCAACCTCCATCTCTTGTCTGTTTGGCACCAGTGCCTCCTGATCCGCTCTGCCCTGCCTCATGGACCACCCCGCTGCTGGGGTGGGCTCTCCAAACCTCAAGCTGACGATGGCATTCCTTCAAAGCTTTTCCAAGAGTGTCTAAACATCGTAACACAGCCAACTAGGCTCCTCTGGGGGACCCAGGCCACTGCACCCTCTCTCCTGCTGACCCCTGATCCCCACCCTGCCCAGTTCTGCTCCTTTCTCACTGCTGGGCCCCTGCACACATTATCCATCATGTAAGGAATGTGCTTCTCTTCCTCTTCACCTGGCTAAGTCGTACTCTTCATGTGGGTTTTACCTGAGCTTAGATGTCCCCTTCAGGCAGGAAACCTTCTCTCACCCCAAAGGTCTCTGCTCCAGTGCGTTTTCTTTGCACCCCCCACCAATATTCCTGTGTTTCCTTCAAATAATATTCAAAGTATCATCATACAGTATTCACATTGCCTGTGTAGTTGCCTCTTCCCTTTTAGACCATAATTTCCTTGAGGATGGAGACTGTTTTACTTAGTGTTGTGTGCTCAGTGCCTGGTACATAGTAAGTACTCAATAAATACTTGTAGATCGCATGTTTAAAATATATTGGGTTAACAGGTTTTTTCCAACTCTATCCAGAGAAAGATCAGACCTTTCACTAGGATACCACACATGTAAACACCATTCTCCAGGTTCAGGATGGTTCACAACTTCGAATTTTTCACCATTTGGTTGCCAGTGTTGTGATCCTCTCACCTGCTTGGTCATTTCACATTTAAACACGGGATGCTCACCTAGGCTGGGGTGAGTTTGAACTGCACAGCCCTGTCAGAGGCAGAGGGATGTCATCCCCTGACCTGTGTCCTCCCTGCCCCTACCTCTGTCTCCTTGAACACCAAGCGGGTCTCTAACATTTTCTATGTTCTTATTGTGACAAAGGTCATCCATTATCTTGCCTTCTCTTAGGATGTTTGGAGTAGGAGAGCTGGGATATTTAACCTTTACCTCATCTGATATCTAAGATACAATAATTTTGTTATTCATCTATCAACAAATGACTTTGTTACAGACATGGATGAATCTAAGCGATGCGCTCAAGTGGAGGTATGTGGAGCACACAGACCCTTCTGTAGCTTTTCTGGGTATTCACAGAAGAGATGTTTATCATACGATGTCAAGAGCCCAAAAAAAGAAAATGAGATCATCTGAGGATATTTCCACAAATATACACAAACAGGGAGGTGACAATACAATCCTGTCCTCATCATGCTCCACAGTTATCACATGATGTGTGCTGCTACAGTGGGGGGTGGGGGGGCGGTGCTGGGGAGAGGTGGGGGTAGTGTTCTGACCTGAAGAGGAGGGTCCTTAGAAAGAGCTGCACTGACGGCACTGGGTTTAGCCTACAGAGCTCTTTGTCAATATTTACTCCTCTGTGAAATATTGCCAGGTCTGAGATTTGCTTCAAAGTCATTCAAGGAGGGTGGGAAAGCAGATGGAGGTCCAGATGAAACAAAACAGGCCGGGGGCTGATAACGGTTCAAGTCTGTTTATAGGCATATGAAGACTAATTACAATATCCCTTCCTCTTGTTTAGGTTAGAAAATCATTATAATAAAAAATGAAAAAATTACACCTCTGAGTAGGGCTTGGGCTTTGCTGATAGACAAATATTTTTAAGATTTTTGAATGTCAGACCAGTGCCTCCCCATTATAAAGTGAGAATTAGTTAGCAATAACAGAAAGGACATGCCCAAATCCGGACATCGCTGAAAGCATCAGTGAGAGCCAAGGTGGTTGACAACATTTATTGGGTGACTAGACGTGCAGATCAGTAAGCAAGGGATGAAAATCAGAGTTTAATTTTAAAGTATATGTTTTTAAATTTAGAAAGTAACAGGACAATATTACAGAAAGTTTGTAAAGTAGAAAAAAATCTCTTTCCTAGCATACCAGCTGTTTTTATTTTTGTATGCAGCCTTCCTGTCATTTTGCTCCATACTATTTTACATAACCATAACCTGAACTAAATATACTTCTATATGCTCTTTTCTTAATTAACATTATATCATAAGCAATTCTTCATTTTATAATCTTCAAAGTTATGATTTTAATAGCTTCACACTATTTTTTATCCAGTACATTTATCACAATCCACTAGTTGGTTTCCTGCTTGTTTTAATGCTCTTGCCCCAAGAAGGCAGGAATAACTCCGCATATCTATTCTAAGGCACTTCCTCACTCGCTGAATGACAACTATTCTTAGAGAGTCTTGTGTCCTGCCTGAAAACACATGTAAAAACCAGTAGAGAAGAAAGCATTCGGCACTTACATTAACAGCCAGCATATCATTTTCAAAGGCCTCACGGAGCTTCTTCATAATCTCTACCTCTGCATTGGCACAGGCCTCAACTGTGCCCTTCACAGTGATGGTTCTTTCAGGGTTGTATATGCTCAAATCCTGCAAGCTGGCCACCGGGAAAAAAAAGAGAGATTTCCTTTGTTCAAAAGGAAAAATAAAATCCCAGAAGGATCACAAACAAGTCTTGGTGGAGGACATGGGGAGAAAACTGGGTTCCCTCACCACACACTGTTGTATCAAATACTTGTCATTTTATTTCAAATCTTAGAGGTGACTTAGCTCATATCCATAGCAGAAAATGTCTGACTGGTAACTATGCACTTGTTTTGATGGTGTTGGAGAAAATTACATCACTTATGATTATAATCCCATTTTAAGGAAAGGCAGATGAAGGAGCTGGGCATATCAAAATGCTCAAGTTCTCCATTTTGGGCACAATTAAACCGGAATGGGTGGCTTACGATGAGATTGTTATCTTGGTCCCCGTCTCATGTTCAATTTTCTTCAAATTTCTGCCTTCTTTTCCAATCAGTCTTCCAACTAAGCCATTGTGGGCCAAGATTTTCAGAGGAATCTCTTCAGCTCTAAAAGAGACAAACAATAATTTAACACTTAAAGTGGACATATTGGTTGCCTCCTAAGAGCTATTAAACCACTTTTTTCCCTTTACAAACATAAACCATTTTGTTCAGGTACCAAGTGGCTATGGGTTGTAGGTGAGGCTTGTTCCTTCACCAACCCCAGTGCATGGATTCTGATTAACACAAGCCAAATCATGGTAATTTTATTCCCTGTTGAGACTGCCTGGAAGTGGGTCTAGGAGGCAAATCTGGCCAATGAGTTATGAGGAGAAGTCCCGCATGACTTTAGGAAGGTTTCTCTTGCTCTTAAAAAAGACAAGCTCCGGATGACACACTAGGATGCTACAGGCCCTCCTAACCCCACAGAGATAACCAAATTAACAACCATAGAGAGACTGAAATACCTCTGTGAGAACTCCAGAGCTCAGTTGAGAAACTATGGTACCCTGGTCATGATAAAGCCAAGAAAAGACTCCAGTAAAAGAGGTGGGAAAATCTGCAGTGTTTGGCGTGGCTACTCTTGCTCCTTCTCCTATGCAGCATAGCAAGGAGCAAATGGGAGGAAATCTCCCATACCAGGGATCCTCCCATGGGATGTAAACAAAAGATTAGACCATATATCCAACATTCTAGCTTATTTGGGAGCTGCCCGAGGGATTGGTTTCTGCCTTGCTTCACTTGAAGCACTGAGGAGAAGGGCGCCAGCGTTTTAGAAGCTGCTGAAAATTGAGGTGAGTAGTAATGTTAGAGCTGCAGTTCCATAGTCAGAAGTCAGGGGGAGAAAGGTCAGAAGAGGTTTGAGAGGCCCTAACACCTCCAACAGGGCGGGTAAGTAAGATGGTTGTTTTTTATAAATGTCCCAATCCTAGCAAAACATTAAGAGACATACAAAGAAATGGGGAAATATGTGCTAATCAAAGGATCAAAATATAACTCCAGAAACCATCCCTAAAGAAATGCAGATCCATGAGCTGACAAAGAATTTACAAATGTCATAAAGACACTCAATGACCTAAAAGAGAACAGAGAGACAACTAAACAAAATCAGGAAAACCATGAATGAACAAAATGAGGATATCAACAGAGAAACTATAAAAAACAATAATAGAACTAAAAAACGTAATACCTGAACCAAAACAAAATTCATTAAAGCAAATCTGACAGGCAGAAGAAAGAACAAGCACACTTGAAGACTGGTCATTTGAAATCATCAAGTAAAAGTAGAAAAAAGAAAAAAGAATGAAAAAAGCCCCCACAAAGCACAGACAAAGGCTAAGAAATTTATGGGTCAGGATCAAGTGGACTAATAAACTCATGCAAATCCCAGAAGGAAGAAAGAGAAAGGGCAGAGAGCTCATTTGAAGAAAGAACAGCAAAAAAGTTTCCAAATCTCAGGAAAGAAATGGACATGTAGATTCAAGAAACTCAAAGAACTCCAAATGGGACAAACCAAGGAGAACCACACTGAGACACATTATAATCCAATTGTCCAAAAGCAAAGACAAAGAGAGAATCTTCAAAGCAGTAAAAGTGATTATTCACAAACAAGAGAGTTTGCATAAGATTATCAGCAGATTTCTCAGCAGAAACTTTTTTTTAAATTTTTTTTAAATTTTTTTAAATTTATTTATGATAGTCACAGAGAGAGAGAGAGAGAGAGAGAGAGAGAGAGAGAGAGAGGCAGAGACACAGGCAGAGGGAGAAGCAGGCTCCATGCACCGGGAGCCCGACGTGGGACTCGATCCCGGGTCTCCAGGATCACGCCCTGGGCCAAAGGCAGGCGCCAAACCGCTGCGCCACCCAGGGATCCGAAACCTTTTTTTAAAAACATTTTGTTTATTCATGAGACACAGAGAGAAAGAGAGAGAGGCAGAGACACAAGCAGAGGGAGAAGCAGGCTCCATGGCAGGGAGCCTGATATGAGACTGGATTCCAGGTCTCCAAGACCAGGCCCTGGGCTGAAGACAGGCCCTAAACCGCTAAGCCACCCAGGCTGCCCTCTCAGCAGAAACTTTACAGGCCAGAAGGCAGTGGGATGAAATGTTCAAAATGCTGAAAGAAAAACACATCAACCAAGAATATTGTATCTGGCAAAAGTATCCTGTGAAAATGAAGGAGATATTAAGACTTTCCTAGATAAACAAAAGCTAATAACGGAGATCATTATTATTAGGCTTGCTCTACAAGAAATGCTAAAAGGAATCATTTAATGGAAATGAAGGGACAGTGGATAGCAACACAAAGCCATATGAAAATACAAGGTTCTCTAGTAAATGTAAATACAAATACAATAAACTGTACTATAATGATTTTGATGCACAGAATTTAAATGACAAAAACATTTTTAAAAAAGATAAATCTATTAATAGGTATAAAATATATAAAGGGCAATTTGTGACATCAGTAACAAAGTAGGGTGTAGAATTGTAAAAGAGCAGAGTTTTTGGATATGATTAAAGTTAAACTGCTATCAGTTTAAAATAGAATGCTATATCTTTAAGATGTTTTATGTAATTGCAATGGTAACCACGAAGAAATTATAGATATACATAAAAGGAAATGAAAAGAGACTTAACACGTATCACTATAAAAACCAAAAAGCAAAGAACAAAGTAAAAAAATACACTAAAGAAAGCAGTAAAAGAGAAAAGGAGGGACAATAAAGCTACAAGACATTTAGAAAACAACAAAATGGCAATAGGAAGTCCTTCCCTATTAATAATTAATTACGTTAAATGTAAAAGAATTAAAGTTCCCAATCCAAAAGATGTGGATTGGCTGAATGGATTAAAAAACAAACAAACAATGAAAGATCTCAAATTGACAACTTTAAACTCAAGGAATTAGAAAAAGAATAAACTAAATCCAAAGCTGGATTAATAAGGAAGGAAATGATAAAGATCAGAGCAAAGATAAACAAAATAGAGAAGAGAAAAACAAAACAAAAAAACAACTAAAAATTGGTTTCTGACAAGATCAACATAATTAATAAATATATAGATTAAAGCAAAGAAAGAACACTCAAATATTTAAAATCAGAAGTGAAACAGGGGATGCTGCAACTGATGTTATAGAGATAAGCATGATTATAAGAGAATACCATGAACACGCATACATCAACAAAGAGATAACTAGAAGAAGTAGATAAATTCCCAGAAACACACAACCTACTAATACTAAATCTGAACAGACCAATTAATAAGTAGGGAGATTGATTCAGTACTTAAAAACTTCCCAACAAAAAAGCCCAGAATCAGATGGCTTCCCTGGAGAATTCTACCAAACATTTAAAGAAGAATTAATACCAATTCTTCCAAAAAATTAAAGAAGAGGGAACATTTCCAAGCTCATTCTATGAGACCGGCTTTACTCTAATACCAAGCTAGACAAAGACACTCGATAAAAGAAAACTACAGTCCAATATTCTTGATAAATATTGATACAAAAGTCCTCAATAAAATATAAGAAAATGAATTCAAAAGTATTTTACATTAAAAGGACAATACAAAAAAATAAAAATAAAAAATAAAAGGACAATACATTATGACCAAGTAGGATGTGCTTCTGGAATGTAAGGGTGGTTCAACATATAAAAATCAATGTAATATACATTAATAGAATAAAGGTAAAAAACCACATGATCATCTGAATTGATGCAGAAAAAAGCATTTGACAAAAATTTAGCACCCTTTTATGATAAAAACGGTCAGCAATCTAGAAATACAATGAAACTACCTTAATAAAACAGAGGCCTTTTGTGAAAAGCCCACAGTGAATATCATATTCAATAGTGAAAGACTGTAAGCTTTTCCTAAGATCTGGAACAAGAGAAGGATACCCACATTCACCATTTCTATACAACTTAGTATTGGAAGTGCTAGCTAGAGTGCTAGTTAGAGCAATTAGGTAAGAAAAAGAAATAAAAGGCATTGAAATTGAAAATGAAGAAGTAAATTATCTTCTGTTTGCAGATAATATGATGTGATATGAAGAAAACTCTAAAGATTCCACAAAAAAAAAACCTGTTAGAATAAACTCATTCAGCAAAGTTGCAGTATATAAAATCAACATACAAAAATCAAGTTTGTTTCCATACACTAACAATGAACAACCTGAAAAGAAAATTAAGAAAAAACATTTTCATTTTACAATAGTGTCTTAAAGAATAAAATAAATGACAGGATAAACGTATCCAAGGAGATAAAAGATTTATATGCTAAAAAACTACATAGGACTGATGAAAGAAATTAGAGAAGACAAAAATAAATGGAACGACATCCCATGTTCATGAACTGAAAGACTTAATATTGTTTGGATGTCCATACTACCCAAAGTGATCTACAGATTCAGTGCAATCCCTATCAAATTCCCAATGGCATCTTTTGCAGAAATAAAATAATTCATCTGAAATCTCAAGGGACCCTGAACAGTTAAAACAATTTTGAAAAAGAACAAAGCTGGAGAACTCACACCTCCTGATTTCAAAACCTATCACAAGGCTACAGTAATTAAGACAGTATGGTAGTGGCATCAAGGGAGATAAATAAACCAATGGTACAGAATAGAGATTCCAGAAATAAACGCTTGCATATATGATCAAATGATCTTTGACAAGGGTGCCCAGATAACACAATGGGGAAAAGGACAGCCTTCAACAAATGGTGCTGGGAAAACTGGATATCCACATGCAAAAGAATGAAGCTAGACCCTTATTTTAGCCCACATACAAAAATTACCTCAAAATGGAATAAAGACCTAAATGTAAAACCTAACACTATAATAGTCCTAGAAGAAAACAGGGGAAAGCTTCATGACATCAGGCTTAGCAATGAGACATCAAAAGCAAAGGCAACGAACACCAAAATAGACAAATTCAACATCAAATTTAAAAACTTTTGTGCATCAAAGGACATGGTCAACAGAGTAGAAAGGTAACCGAGGGAAAAGAAGTAAATATCTGCAAATCATGTACCACTAATCATAAAGGATTAATATCCAGAATATATAAAGAACTCCTACAATTCAACAACAAAAAAATCAGACAACCCATTTTAAAAATAGGCATAAATTAGATACTCTCCAAAGATGATATACAGATGGCCAATAAGCACATGAAAAGATGATCAATATCATCAACTATCAGAGAAATGCAAATAATCTGAGATACTATGAATACAAATTATTACCACACATCCATTAGTTTGGCTACTACCAAATAACAGAAAATAGCAAGGACTGGTGAGGATGCGGAGAAATTGGATCCCTTGTGTACTGTTGGTGATATTATAAAATGATATCATTGCTATGGAAAACAATAATATGGAGATTCCTCAAAAAATTGAATAAAACTATCATGATCCAGTAATCTCACTTCTGGGTATATATCCACAAGAATTTAAAGCAGGATCTTGGGGGGAAAAAGCAGGATCTTGAAGAGATATTTGTACACCCATGTTCATAATAACAGTACTATTCACAATAGCCAGAAGGTGAAAACAACCCAAATGTACATCAATGGATGACTATACAAAATGTAATATATGCACACAAAGGAATATTATTCAGTTTTAAAAAGGAAGCAAGTCCTGCTGCATGCTACAACATGGATGAATCTTTTTTATTTATTTTTTTTTATTTATTTATGATAGTTACAGAGAGAGAGAGAGAGAGAGAGAGAGAGAGAGAGAGAGAGGCAGAGACACAGGCAGAGGGAGAAGCGGGCTCCATGCACCGGGAGCCTGACGTGGGATTCGATCCCGGGTCTCCAGGATCGCGCCCTGGGCCAAAGGCAGGCGCCAAACCGCTGCTCCACCCAGGGATCCCCAACATGGATGAATCTTGAAGACATTATGCTAAGCGAAATAAGCCAGTCACAAAAAGACAAAATACTGTATGATTCCACTTATATGCAGTCTCTAAAGCAGTCAAATTCACAGAAACAGAAAGTAAAATTTTAGCTACTGAGGTTAGAGGGAGAGAGAAAAGGAGAGTTGTTCAGTGGGTATAGAGTTTCAGTTTTGCAAGATGAAAGGTTTTGGAAATCTGTTTTTACAATAATGTGACTATATTATTGAACTGTAAACTTAAAAATGGGTAAGTAAAATAAATCAGAGAAAGACAAATACTGCATAATCTCATTTACATGTGGAATCTAAAACGAAACAAGCTCATAGATACAGAGAACAGATTAATGGTTGCCAGAGGTGTGTGAGGGGTGAGGTGTGTGTGCAAAATGTGTGAAGAGAGTCAAACTTACAAACTTCCATATAGGGCAGCCCCGGTGGCTTAGCAGTTTAGCACTGCCTTCAGCCCAGGGCATGATCCTGGAGACTCAGGATCAAGTCCTGCATCAGGCTCCCTGCATGGAGCCTGCTTCTCCCTCTCCCTGTCTCTCTCTCTCTCTGTATCTCTAATAAATAAATAAAAAATCTTAAAAAAAACCTTTCATATAAAATAAGTAAGTCATGAGATATAATGAACAACATGGTGATTATAGCTGATAATACTATACTGAATATATGAAAGTCCCTAAGAGAGCAAATCTTAAGTCCAAGAAAAAAAATAACTATGAATGGTGAGGGATATTAGCTAGACTTATTGTGGTGATGATTTCACAATATATACAAATATCCAATAATTTTGTTGTACACCTCAAACAAATATAGTATTACATGTCAATTATACCTCAACAAAAAACACGATTAGGATGATAAATTTTGTGTTTTTTACCAGAAAAAAAAAGTTCAAAAAAGGAGGAACAAGCATGCCCTCTCTTTCAACTTTTGAATATTTTTATGTGGGGGCAGAAGGTCTGAAATCACTATAGCCATCCTGTCATTACCAGGCCAGTATCAGATATCCCAAGGAAGACAGAACAGAAAGAAAGGTGGTGGCTAGAGTCTGTGATTCAATTGACCTTGGAGTCATCCACCTCAGGACTTCTTGTTATATGACAGAATAATAGTTTCTTATTGCTTAAGTGACTTGTTATATGTTTTCTGCTAGTTAGGACCAAAAGCAATCTAACATGCATTCCTACTATACACAGACACTTGAAGAAATGCCACCAGAATGGAACTTTCAGAGGGGAGGGTTTTTGTAGGCTTTGTTCACATAGAATACTGCCCAGCACGTGGTAGCTTCTTAATAAATGCTTGATAAATGAGTAAAAAAGAAAATTTAGGATTATTCTTCTACATCCTCCAACCTCCTGCTCATCCCTCTCAGGACTCAGCTGAAACATCACTTATCAGGGAGAAAGAAGTCTTCTCTGAATCCCCCAAATGTCTTCCTGCTCTCCTAAAAACCTTGATGATGGTCCTTCACTTACATGCAGTTATTTTCTTTTCTTTCTTTTTTTTTTTTAACTGTTACTTATTTATGATAGTCATAAATGAAGAGAGAGACAGAGTCAGAGACGTAGGCAGAGGGAGAAGCAGGCTCCATGCACCGGGAGCCCGACGTGGGATTCGATCCCGGGTCTCCAGGATCGCGCCCTGGGCCAAAGGCAGGCGCTAAACTGCTGCGCCACCCAGGGATCCCCTACATGCAGTTATTTTCGACTCTCACATGTCTCATGGCTGTGCTTGATGACCTCCTGGTGTAAGTATTTGTTTAGCGAATATCTCTCCCAATGGATCATTAGCTCCATGAAAGTAGGGTCTGGGTCCTGTTTATGGCAGTAGCACAGCACTTAGCACAGTGCGGCACTGAAAAAAACTGATTTCAGAGATATTCAACCTCTATGTTGGCCCTATGTGAAAACTCAAGAATTTCATTTACATATCAGTCTTTTGGATTATTTAGAATATTTGAAATTGCTTGTCCTGAGGCTGAAGGACCAGGAAGGGTGTTATAAAGTTCTCAATAGCTTGGTTGAGGGAGGAGCTTATTCAAATTAAGCCATGGCATTTGGGAGGTTTCAAAGGCCTCAAATAGAATAATTCATAAGTAATAAATTCATAAGTTAGAGTTGCTTATGAAATGTGAGAATAGATTTGCAATATTTTGTTTTTAAGGACTACTTTCATCTTCTTGGTTTTATTTTTTATTTTTCTTTTAATCTTCTTGGTTTTAGAACACTCTTATTTGACATTATTTCTAAGTTAATTTTATATTTGATTCATCCCTCACTGCTTCTTTATAAAACTGCCGCCACTACCCATTAAGTGGATTTGCCAAACTGACAGGGGAACTCCTTTTATCATCTATTCCATTATCACTAATTCATTTATAACACAAAGTCAATGGGTATAGTAAGAACTGTATCATTTGAATTGGTACAACACTCAGGAATCCTAAGAAGTATTTTGTAAAAAAAAGAAAAGGAGGGAAGGAAATGAAAGAAGAGTAAAGTAGCTACTTGGATAGCAGTTTCTCCTACTTAAGGAAAATTTAAGAGTGCAACATGGTGGTAAAAACCTTTTCCAGAACAATAAATGATGGCTTCGATGACAACATACATTCCATGCAAATTGCACTGTCCAGTATGGTAGCCATTAGCCATAAATGTGACTATTTAAATTTGAATGAATGAAAATAAAATATTTAGCTCCTCCAAGGCAGTGGCCACATTTCAAGTACTCAATAGCAACATATGGCTAATGGCTATTATATTGAACAGTGCAGATACACAATATTTCCATCATTGCATGGCCTTAGAAGCATGTATCTATATGTTTCTACCAGTTAATTCTTAGTAATGAGTGATGGAAACATTCAGATGACCAAAAGAAACATGAAAGTGGAGAAACAGTCATGTCATAAACATAAAAGATCTATTTCCTACTGTATTCTCCTAAGGAACAAATTTCTTAAAAATAATCTGTCCCCTGCTCCCTATATCGAGTAATAGAATTAAAGGTCTTAAAAAATTTCTGTGTTACATCAATGAGAACTTACTCTGTTCTCTGTTAAGTGATCTGGGCATCATATGCATTGCACACTTACAGTTTGGTCTCATCAGCCTCTTTCTGCATGATTTCAAGAATCATGCGGCATGCTTCAGAGGTCCCCTCTGGGGTGGCATGGATGGTGACAGGCTTCTCTGCAGCCCCAGAGTTCTCCTTTCTATGGATGTCTACCCTGTAGGGAAAGAATCAGGAGCCGTAACACAACGTCCTCTGGGACAGGATCCTAGTCCTGAGAAAGCATCTCACGGGCCAACATACAGCAAGGACACAGACAATGAAGTGTCATTAGCACGTTTGCAACCAATGCCATTCTTCAAGACGGCGGCAAGCAGTGCAGGAGGTCTTGTGCCAAACTTGAATTCTTTGCAGTTCCATTTAGAAGGGAATATTTCTTGCCGGAGTGCTGTGGGACAAAGGCGCCAAGCCAACTTGGTAATGAAGCCAGTTTGGCAAATGAAGTATTTTGTGTAGTCTTTCAAATGATCATAGAAGCAAAGGGTAAAGTGAGTGGGGTAACACTGCACACTGGCATGGTGCCAGTTTCTGAACTGATTGTAGCTTTTAAAAGCCATATGTTAATCCAAATCCAAACACCAAATTCAAGCAAGCTTTATATATTTGAGTGTGGATTAAAAACAGAGGAATGCCCTCTCTGCTGAAGTTTTTGGTTTCCTTGCCACTGGCAGCCTGCCTTCTTCCAGGCTCTTAAAACTAATGGCTCAAAAACTTGATGACTTTATCAGACTTCTTAGGGTAGTTGTGGCCCTACTTATTTTTGTTATTTTTGAAAATCACATAATTGATTGTATCCCTTTTTGCTTTGGCCGTTAGAAAGCCAAGATCCAAGTCTTTGGCCTATTTGCAAAAATTGGGCACATACTTTGAGAACTAAACTTCACTTCTCTTTAAACTTGTTGCATTTTTAAAGCCACTTTAAGAAATTTTTGGAACAAAAAGACATAACTAAAAATCACTTTTGCAGTGAAGCAAACTTGGAGGGGAGAAAAGAGCAGATTTTAAAATAAATGGAACAGCAGACAGTACTTCCCTCCTCTACTGGCTCATCATTTCACTGCTATGACCATGAACTCTGGGACTCGTACATATAAGTGCCCATCATTTGGCAGTAACTCAGACACTTTGAAGAAAATAGTGTTTTCTCTTTCAGGTTACAAGACACTCAATGAATGATGTGAAAAAAATGTGCTAGGCATGTAAATAACCCGTTTGTCAGCAACTTGTTTTTTTGCAATTTAAGTGCTTTCACAGCAATTATTTCTTTCAATCTGCCTGACTGTCCTAATTCTAACAATAATCCTGGTTTATGGAACAAAGTTGATGCTCTGGGAAGTTAATTTTTTCCTAAGATCATAGAGCCATTAAATGGTAAATCCTGAATATGGGTCTTTGTGTCCTGTGCTTTCTTCATTGCATCATGCTGTGTTCTTAAGAACATTCAAAAACCAACAATCCCACAGGTCATTTTATCCACTACAATTCCTACTACCCCCTACAACTACTACTCCTATTCAATCTCCTTAGAAATTAAACATAAGGTTAATGTACTTCATTTCTTGATCAATATAGCAGACCTATTCACTTCTTTTACGTAGCTAATTATGAGATCACCTAAGCGATCTCCAAGGATGACTATGACTCAGGGCTCCAACTCAAGACAGGAGGTAAGAACTAAGATAAGTGGTTTCTGGGATCCCACAAAACTCAGCCTCATAAGTCTAATGTTTCAGAAATTGATGTACTCACAAGCATAAGTAAGCTTATGAGAACAATTCTCAGCTGTTAAGTCATTTGTACCTTCTTTATGAAACTTTAGTATTTCAGGGTGTGACCTTTAGGTTACTGGCAGGAGAGCACATTAAATCCCAAGCTTTGTTAGTTGGTTAATTCTATTTTAAGAAGCTACCATCCCATACAGCACAGCACCCCCACCCCCCACTGCTGATGCAAGCAACAGCCACCTGAGGATGACTGGGACCCACCAGCATTCAGGAGCCTGTCAGAAGGAAGCAAAGGAAGCCCCGGAGGCACGTACCGGGACTGGGTCTGCTTAGTGATGTTCTTTATGGTCAAGCCCTCTTTTCCGATGATGGCACCAACAAACTGGGTGGGGACCAGGATCCGCAGCGGGAAATCAATCTGTCTGGCCTGAGAAGAGCCCCCAGGGGCGTGGCCTTGCTCCCGGGAAGAGTGGTCCCCACGCTGGGCTCGCTGAGGGGGCGTAGGGGAGCTCACCTCTTCATCCGGGATGTAGGAAATCTTGAAGGAGTAGTTCTCAAACTGATGCCCGCTTAGCTTCTCGATGGCTCTGCAGGAGCAGGTGAGCTTTGTTAGAGAGTGATGTCAAAGAGGATGACCCTCAGGCCAGGGGATACGTTCATTCAGTCTAGTTTACTAGTTGCCAATGTGAACAGCATTAATCCTCCCCAAGGATACAGTGGTGAGCAAGGCAGATGCCAGCTCTGCTCCCTTAGAGCTTGTGGTTAATAATTAAACAATTGCAATGTACAGGCCTTGTCACACGTGATATACAACTATGCATTCTGCCTTTTTTCACCACCCAAGGTGTATCCCCCTCAACAAAAACTCTATAAATATTGGTATTAAATTATGAGTCATTTTTTTCTCATTTTGCTTTTTTTTCTCATTTTGATAATACTATTATTGAAAATTCAGAAATAGATATGCACAAATGAGAAAAAAACCTAGTCCATCCTATATCTTTCTTTTCTTAAATATAATTATCATTTATAAAACATGGATTAATGGCATATACACTATTTTTTAATCTTTAAAAAACAGTTAATACTCTTAATGTTTTCTTTTTTTTTCCTGAAGGGATTTTATTTTTTTATTTTTTAAAAAAGATTTTATTTATTTATTCATGACAGACACAGAGAGAGAGAGAGAGGCAGAGACATAAGTAGAGAGAGAAGCAGGCTCCATGCAAGGAGCTCCATGCAGGGAGCCCAATGCAGGACTCAATCCCAGGACTCCAGGATCACGCCCTGGGCCAAAGGTAGGTGCTCAACTGCTGAGCCACCCAGGCATAATCTAAATGTTTTCCAAGTCATGCAATTTCCAAATGTCCTGCAATTTAGTTTTTACTGGATGTTTAACATTCTGTTGATTTATCATAGCTTTTGCCACTCATTCCCTAATGTTATACATATATAATCTTTTATTATTATTTATAGTGTTGCCATAGGCATTTTTGCAACTCCAACTGCATACTGGACAAATTCTTAATGGAATTGCTGGGTCAGAGAGTACATGCAGAAATCTGATATTATTAAGTACCGCTCAGTGTGCTTCTGGAAAGTTTCAACACTTACTATTCCATAGCAGTTAAGAGAGCATTTGTTTCCTTGAGTCCTCATATTATTTAAAATTATTTATTAATTTGGTAGGGAATACACAATATCTCACTATTGCATTTTTAAAATTATACGGGAAGTGGAACAATTTTTTCACAGGTTTTTTGCAGCATATGAAAACAATAGCCTTATTCTCCTAGGTTAATGTTTAGCATTTGTGAATTTATTACAAAGTAGTATCTTTGAATTCAATAAAAGCAACAATCATATCAAGTATGGAGGTCCTAGCTAAGTGGCAGCTGGACACAAACTACAACAGTGAGTTGCTGATATATATCCTGCTTATGTACATGTGGCTGAAGTCAACAGCAAATGATCTATTGCCTTTTTCAATGCAAAATTAATTTTTTTAAGACTAGTGGTAGGAAGATGCGTTAAATATATCATCATGTGTGTTGAAACCTGAAAAATAATAAAGCTATAATTCTGAGATGTATAACCAAGGTTATGCCACATCCACGAAACATGGCCATGTTTGACCATAATTCTAGTTACAATGACCTGACAGGCATTTCACTTTAAAGACCTCCTACAGGGCAGCCCTGGTGGCTTAGCGGTTTAGCACTGCCTTCGGCCCAGGGCCTGATCCTGGAGACCTGGGGTCCAGTCCCGTGTCGGGCTCCCTGCATGGAGCCTGCTTCTCCCTCTGCCTGTGTCTCTGCCTCTGTCTCTCTCATGAATAAATAAATACAATCTTAAAAAAAAAATAAAGACCTCCTACGAAAAGAACTTGGTTTTTTTTGTTGTTGTTATTGTTTTTAAAGACCCAATTCCATGTCCATTAACCGCAAACCTCAAAATTAACCATCAATGAAGCAATATAATCATAAATAGGGACTAGGAGGTGAATGGAAGTTAGGAAAAAGAACCCAAACCAGGCACTTTTTGATTAACCACTTCCAGACAATTCTCCCTGCTGCTGCTGCTGTCATTGAGATGGATCCCCTTTTTAATATTACACAGAGGAAATTATCTCTTCACCAAGTGTGGAGAGAAGTAGATTGGTGCATGGAGGAAGCTCCAGGTAAAAGAAGCTCCCACCGGTTGGCAAAGCAGAGTCTGTGGAACACAGTGTCAGAGAACTGGTGCCTCTATTCCCGACCATGTCAAGACACAGCACCCACCTCAGTTTTGATGCCCTGGCTCAATATTTTTCAAGATAAAGACTCTGTACAACCAACAAATGGACACCCTGGATAATGGTATAAATGCCCTCGAGCTCCACTGACATGTCAAAAGTAAGTAGCAGAGATGTCCTAGAGCTCCTCTGTTGTGTCAAAGATAAGGATCTTTTGGAATTCAAAGACAACCCTCCAAAATTTTATTTTATTTTACTTTTTAAAGATTTTATTTACTTATTTATGAGAGACACAGGGAGACAGAGAGAGGCAGAGACACAGGCAGAAGGAGAAGCAGGCCCCATGTAGGGAGCCCAATGTGGGACTCGATCCCGGGTCTCCAGGATCAGACCCTGGGCTGAAGGCGGTGCTAAACCACTGAGCCACTGGGGCTGCCCCCCCCTCCAAAATTTTAAAAGGAAAGTAGTCCAAACCCACTTACATCTTTGCTTCTTCTCTTGTTGCATATGTGACGTTGACAACGGCAGTTTCTGTGTCTGTGTTGACTAGGAAAGAAGCAAAAACTATACTGTCATAGGGAAAAAAAAGCTGCCACCCTCTGGCTCAATGTAAACAGACTAACTTGAGAAAAGAATGAACAAAAAACTCATCAGTTTAAGTGCACAGTTATCTGAATCTCTATCTTTATTCGCATGCATTCATAGTAAATAGTAATCAACTGTATATGCACATTTGTAATCAATTGTATATACAACTCAAAGCTACATTTTCACTTATAAATACTATTGTATGTGCACGTTTGTATTTTTCATTTTAATGTCTATATAAAATTTAAGTAAATGTGCCATGATTTCTACCTAACCATTCAATTGTTGACATATGGGTTATCCCCAATATCTGCTCTTCTAAGTCGTGTTGCAAAAAATCACCTTTACTGCAAACATCATTTGATTTGTGTTGTTTTATGAATTACTCTTTAGGCCAAAGTCACGAAAGAAAAATAACTGGGTAACAAAACATAACGCTTAATGCATATTTTTCAGATTATTTTCTTAGAAGTATATATCAATTTATTGTACTACCGTCAAGGTATGAGTTTTAATGTTATGTTCTGCCTTTATTTTTAAATAACTGGATATATGAATAAAATAATAAAAGGTATTTTAATTCTTCATTCATTCTTAGAGTTGAATTAATATTTTTGTTTCCCTTTGACTGAGCTCCATGACTGTGTGAGTTAAATCTAATAATTGTATATAATAAATAAAGAAAACTGACAATTATAACTTACTTGGCTGAAGGAGAGAACTCTAAGAGTGACTAAATACTAAACTCTTGTGAGCTGGCTTACTCTGGTTCATAACTGCTTGCCTCTTCTTCTAAAGTCAGAAGTTAAAAATAAATTCAAAAGGCAAGATAAAGCTTTCTCAATCCAAGCCAGTAAAGGTAACTCCCAAATCCCAGTTTTCCCAAAACAAGTAGCCATGACTAAATCAGATCCTCCCTTTAAAAAACTTGTAAGCTATTGGGAGACTTGGAGTTAACAACAACAGGAAGTTAATGATAATTCAAGAAAACCATGATAAAGCTGCTTTCCAAAGTAATAATAAAACCCTGTAGTGTAGGGATTCCTAATCCTAGATCCGTGTTAGGGCTTTAGGAATTCTATATAAACTCACACCCCCACCCTCACCCCGACCAAAGATTCAAATGTGTGGATATATGAATTCCTCTGGTTTATAATTTCCATAAGACTCTCAAAGAGGTTAAAGGCCACGGCTCAAAATACTGTGTATCCGATAACCTCTGAGTAGCTGCAGCCTTCACAGGGAAGGGATGTACAGTCTTCAGAAAGGAGATGCCCCTGAGATTTACATGTCATAAATGCTGAGCCCAGCCTGGCTCTGCCCGGGAGTGTTCTTGCTGCCCTAATTCACACTTACCCAGAGAAGTCCTCATAGTGCAAAACAGGGGATGAGCAGCCCACAACCGTCCTCTCTCAGTGCTGACACACAGAATGTACAGAGGGTTCCTATTTGCTGCTTTCTAGTGCTCCAGATGAGGCTGTCGACTCCCAGAAAGGGAGAAAGGGTTTGGACCTCCTGAATAAATCTATCCACTAGGATGCTCAGATTCTCAGATTCTGTTCTCACTTCTTAGTCATATTCTCTGTTATTCAAAGACACTTGTCTTCAGGAAATCAGACAGTTCTGCGATTCTGGAAAGAACTGAGCTCCATTCAAATAATTTATTTCGCTGGACATAAAAACTCTAAAAAGTTTCTTAAAACTCTACTGAAAATGTTTTCCTGCTGAATCAGGAATCACCTATGAAACAAAACAAAACAGAAAACCCAACACTTCTATCCTGTAGTTGTGAGGCAGCTGGAAACTGGGTGGTCTCCAGGGCACAGGTGCGCTAGGAGTTGTAAACCGCCCTGGGGACCTGAAATAATTCTTCCTTGCATGGCATTGTCCTGAATTTATAACATGGTCTTAGCTAGTAACTTTTACAGGTTCATGTCTGTGAGGCCATCTTGCCTACTACATCCAATCCTTATTAGAATGTCTTCTTTTCCATGTTGAGGGAAATAACAAGAACTGAGAAATAGAATCCGTGTAAATCATGTCTTCTTTCTGAGCTCTTTCCCTTCACCTTTGGGCATGGGCAGTCAGCAGCATGAAATTGAATAATAATATTTTTAATATTCATGGAGTGGAGAACATCTGAATAATTACTACTTAAAAATGATTATTATACTGGCAGATAGAACAGATTGCATGTAAGAAAATGGGTTCGCTGTGATTAGTTCCAAGTGAACCTTAGCCTTGAGATCATACAGGACTCCACTGCCTACAAATATTTATACAGGTTCTCTCTGGGTGCCACAACTATTTAGTGATACAGAAAGAAGTAGACATTATTCTCCCCATTTTATACAGGTGGAAACTCAGTCAGTGAGAGTAAGTGACTTTCCCAAGGGCTCACAGTCAGTAAATGACCTAATTCACATTCTTCTTTATTGCATGTTACTGACTGTTACATCAGGCCAAAGAAAAATAATCTTTATTGCATGTTATCGCCTATCATATCAGGAGCCTAGAATCTACTTTTCTGGGACTCTTACAGAGCTACATAAGATATCAACTTCTTTAAAAAAAGTATCTTCTTTTTTTTTTTTTAATCATAGCATTTCATGTTTTAGATGATAAAAGTGAGAGCGGCAGAAAGAAGAGTATATATTTTCTGTGGATTTCCAAAACTTCCTAAATCTGTGGCTCTCAAACTTGAGTACACACAAAAATCACTTGGGGGTGCTTGTTTAAAATACAGATTCATGAACTTTTGCCCCACAGAGTCTTACTTTGTAGGTCTATGGTGAGCCCCAGGGATCTGCATTTTCATAAGTATCATGGGCGCTTCTGGTGTAGGAGTCCTCTTCCTTGAGAAACACTCAACCTAAGATATTAGGGATCTGTTGTTCTTAGCCAGGAAGAGGAAAACTGTAACAACGTAAATTCAATTACTTCCGAGTGAATTAAGCTTACCTCAGCTTGATAGTGTTTTGTCTGCACATTAACAGAGTATTAAAAAACCAACCTGTAAGTCATATTCCTTAAAAAAACAAATTATACAGATATGGATAAAAAGATTTGACTATCTCTCATACGCAGAGGAAGCCTGTTTAAAAGGAATCTGAATTTACTATTTCTCTTTGGAGTTGACCCAGCCTATAAGAAATAACTTAATAATCCCCCTCAAAATTCAAGAGGCTAATTTCCTCACTTATTACCTTGTTCTACATTCTCCACTGTCCCATACTGAGCCAAAAGTCCATCCAGCACCTGAAATTAAAAAAAAGCTTCAATGTCAGAATGGGAAGACAAGATCACACACACACACACACACACACACACAAATGGTTTAGTGATATTTTCCAACAAATGAAATAAAACAAAGGAAGGATAGTTATAGGAATAATCTAAATAAATTGATACCTCAGGTCTTTCAACAAAACAGAACTGAATAAATATATGGGACTTGTATTTGCTTATTGGCTCTCAAGTAATCTGTTCACTGGGGTAACACAGCAGGATTTCAGTCTTAGTAAATGTTAACAATCACATTCATCGTGATGGTTGGAACACATTGCTTTTGAAATGACAAGGAGAATAAAATACAAGGCTCATTTGTCCTTCTTGGAAGTTTTAATCATTCTTCCTTCTGTTTTTCTCTAGGGAACTCCTTATTTTACAAAGCAATGGGATATATATATTTGAACTGTTTCATAATAAAGGTTTATTTTTTTAAGTAATAAAAATGTCAGACAAAACTTTGTTTCCTTTAAGGCTGTTTTGATTTTGTTTCATTTGGAAAGAAACATTGGGGCAGTTTGTTTTTAAATAGTGCAATAAAGCTACTCCTTGAATTTTATCTTTTTAAATTTTAAGGTTGCTATTTTATAAGTTTTACAACTCTGAAACTATATCTTAACTACTATTCACAGCAAAACTAATTCAAAATAAACAAAAATCTAGTCTAACACCCTTCTATTTTTACTGGGCTTCCACTGATTTTTTTTTCCAAAATCATAATTGGAAAAGTAAAAATCTTTTACAAAATCGTGAGATAAAAATCACAAACCAGGTATACATTTAGTTTCAGAGTTTGCTGCTGCTTGGTGCTGGAGAAGACAGAACAGGGGGGCTCAAAGCATACATCTTGCCCAACAAAAGGGACAAACCCTAAAGTTATGGCAGATCACATACTTTAGGATACTGAAAAAGGAAGAGAGAAAACTCTGGGGCCTTGTGGGAAAGGACTTGAGGACCTCTAATTCCTCAGGGAACTAACAGAGGGAGAGATGTTTTGTTGGCCTATTATAAAGTAAGGTGAGGATAGAGAGCAGGAAGACAATAAATATGCAGGTGACACTGGCTTACCTCCCACTGCAGGTGAGGAGGGATGTTTCGGATCTGAATTTTTCTGCTCCTGTCAAAATGAAAGCTCAGACTGTAACACTTTCTCCAGGACACGGACTTCAGCAAATAATAAAAACAGGTTTAAGACCAGAGTTTGAGTTCACTTCTCACTGTATTTACTGAGGCATCAGCAAGAGATTCCAGCTGTGACTCGTAAGCATGATGTTTTAAGGGTTTCAGTTACTTTGGGGAAAAAAGTGAAGAAAAAAACCTAACAAGTCTGAATACGGTTAAAAAAAAAATGTTTAAATGCAGACATGCCTTTCCAATTTCTTGCCAAAGAAGTTAGAATTTAAATTCCCATATAGATTCTAATTACAGAATTTTAACTTCCTCCCCAAAATATATGGTCCTGCAACTGACCCTACCCCAAAAGAGACTTCAGCTCAAATATGATAGCTGAACTCACATATATAGTGGATTTAAACAAGATCAGATTTAGCTCACACCTTACCTAATACAAAACTTCCTTTCAAAAATTACTTGTTATCTTTAAATAAGTACCTTCAGTTTCTTTACGCAAATAATAGTGAATACAAATTCTTATTTCTCCTCTTTTCTTACAGAAATATTTGGATATTAATTGTAGAAACAAGCTCTCTGTATGCTGGTTTTTTGTTTTTTGTTTTTTTTTCCACCTTAACAGTAACATCCTGGAGATCTTCCCAAGTTGGCAGATAGAGAGCATCCTCATTCTATTTTGTGTTACCTGGATGTACCAAAGTCCATCATCTCCTGTTGATGGACTTTTGGGCCTTCTCCTGCCTTTCTAGTCAGAGGATTTTTCTGTTTTGCTGAGACATCCTGCTAGTCTGATAATTTTGAGTTAGATTGTTTCTTTTTTTTAATGTAAACATTAAAGTTACGTGGAAAAAAAGAATAGGATAAGAATTTTTTTTCTATCTTTTAAGAACATGTTAGATTCTGGAAGGAAAACAGAGCACCATTTAAATATTAGAGAGGTCATTTTAATGGATGGACTTGACATTCAATTCCCCTAAATATCCATTTGAGGGTGTTGCAAGAGAAAGGGTATGATGGCCAAAGTACCAGCCATTACTTGTTCTTTCCTTCTGGTATCAGAGGTACCAAATAGTGGCAACACACAGCCACATCTTTTTTCATGCCTTTAATTTTGGCAATAGCTCCAGAAAAAAATGTTACAATTCATGCAGAGAGGAAAAGAGAGAGGAAACATGGAAACAAACAATGAAGTAAATCAGGGGCTCCAGTTTTCTCAGATTGTTTTTATTGAATGCAAGGAGGGGCCATCCTAGATCCTATACAGTACTTCTATTTTATTTTTAAGAATGAGAAGGCATTCGTGCTTTATTATAGGGCTCCTTCAATGACAATACAAGCCAGTCTATAGAACCTTTCATCTTGTCTCAGGATAGGAAGGAGGAAAAAGAACCAAGAACTAATTTTTACCCCTATGCTATGAAGCCTTTTTTCTGACACTGCCTTTGGCAATAGTTCATAATAAAACTGCTGACACCATCCCATGTAGAGGCTACATGGAATGTTCCACTGAAGATGTCACAAGCCTAGCTATTTATAGAAAAGGCATCAGAATTTGCAAGAAATTGAATATTTCTAAAGAAAAATATTTTTATCTCCAAAGATAAACATTGATTCTAAATGCTAACTAAGAATTTACTGGTATAATTCTTATTGGAAGAAACCCATGTATGAACACAAAGTTTTGGAAAAAAGATAGCTACTATAGCATTGTTTGTTATGACAAAGACTGCAAATAATCTAAAATCTACCAACAGGGCAAGAATAAATAAATCATCAGACAGTCACAAGATGGAACATTATACAGCTGTACAAATGAATGAAGTAGGGATGCCTGGCTGTCTCAGTCAGTAGAGCATCCAACTCTCTATCTCGGGGTTGAAAGTTTGGGTGTAGAGATTACTTAAAGAAATGAAGTAAACACGTGGACATGGTCATTAGGAAACTCTCCAAGGCATGCTGTTATAAGAAGAGATCTAATTATACATTAGGCTGACCCTGTTTTTTAAGTGCTCTATACAGACCACATGTTATTAAATGTGTGTGCTTTGCAAATACATTAAAAAGGTAGCTACAAGAGGTTGGTGAAAGGGGGAATAAATACACTTATTTTAGCTACCTCTGTCATTTTTTTTAAATGAGAATGTATTCATGTCTTACTTGCTTTAAAAAATTAACAATTAAAATTCCTACTAAGGCTACTTGAATGAATACACAAGATTTATTTTTGAAAAGTACGCTAGAATCTACTAAAAAAAAAAAAAGAACAAAAAAACAAACACCTGACTTCTTCCATAATTAGGTTAGGTATTCTTGAAATCTTATTTAACAAAATATTAATTTATTTAGCCAACTCTGTTTCTTTCTAATGTGTAAGCTGTCAAACTCTGCCCAGGTGCAGATTACCCCAAATCCTAACTAAATGGGTCCAAAATAATAACGTTTCCCTGTAACATCTCATGTAAGAGAATGCACATCAAGCAATTAGTTCAGTAACTGCAATGTTTGTTAAGCAGTATTCCAGTAGAAATAGTCTCTAAAAAGTTGGTGTGTGGCATCTCTAATTTTAGATCAGTATGGAAAGGAAGAAAACAAACAGAACTAAAAAAGGATATCACTACAGGAGAAACAATTAAAATGATCCTTGGATCACTGGGAAGATTATCCTGAGCGATTATCTTTCAGGATCAGGATCAATCAGGACCTGGGAATTCTGCTAACTTCCAAGGCACCATCTGGATGCTGTGCCTCCTTCTGGGGATCCTCGGATGCCCATTTCCTTCTCACCGGAGAGGGACTTCCACATGCCCTTCAAATCCCACTCCCACATGCAGAGGCTTCCAAGGTATCTCCAGGCAGAATGGTCCCCTCTGCATCCTTCAGTTTTTGTAACAGTTCACTCTGCTATAATTATTTATCTGCTGGGGCTGTCCTGGTCCCCCATGAACCCTCTGCTAGATAGTAATTTCCTCAAGGACAGTCTCCTGGTGTACTAGTCTCCTGTCCAGCACAGGGCCAAGTATCTAGTATAAAAGGACAGCATGGCACCCCATGGACTCGGAAAAGCATTCCCATTGCTGGCTGTAGCCTGCCTATGATGTGGATCCCCTGACCCCACCCCAGAAGGCCAACTCTTTATTTCTCCTGTGTCAGGTAGTCAAGAGAAGAGGGAGGAGTTCTTGTCCCTCTTTCCTTTAGAAAAGAAACAGTGTTAGGCTCAGTTTCAACCAACAAATGTAGATCTTTTTCTCTCTGAAATCCCTAAAAGTGTGCCCTGCTTTAAAAAGCCAAACTTATACAGTAACTCAGGAAAGGGACTGGTTTTAAGAAAATATTTTGTTCCTTAAAAAAAGGGAATAATTTCACAGTTCCTTTATTAAAAACAAACAAACAAAAAAAAAAAACAAAAAACAAAAAAACAAGCTTCTCTAAATATATGTAATGACATTTCTCATCCTCACTGCCCAGAAGCATTAGAGCAGTCTCCTAGTTGGCCCATTTTCTGACTGTACTCCCTCCTTGGCTGCCAGTGACTCTCTTGGTTACTCCTGTCTTTTTTGATTCCCTGTCACCACATCCAAATTTTCTTTCATGACCCTGTTAACTATACTCCTCATCTCTACCTTGCCAACACCAAACTACCCAAACTTTGCGCACTTATCCCTTCATCAAAAGTAATTTGTTACACTTGCAGTTTATATGCAAGGTATCTGAGGTACAGATACCTTACTGTATTAGAGTTTACATAATGTTTTCAGGGTCATCCATGTTGTAGTATGTATCAAAATTTTACGCTCTGCATTGGTTTTTTTTTTTAATTCAATTTGCCAACATATAACACCCGGTGTTCATCACATCACGTGCCCTCCTTAGTGCCTGTCACCCAGTTACCCACCTTCTTCTGCTGCAACTATCAGTTTGTTTCCCAGAATCAGGAGTCTCTCATGGTTGGTCTTCCTCTGTAATTTTTCCTCACTCAGTTCCCCCCTCCCCCTTCCCTATGGTCTCTTTCATGATTTCTTATATTCCACATATGATTGAAACCATATGATAATTGGCTTTCTCCAACTGACTTATTTTACTCAGCATAATACCCTCCAGTTCCATCCACATCGATGTAAATGGTAAACATTCACCCTTTCTGATGGCTGAGTAATATTCCATTGTATATATGGTTATGGAGCTTTTTTTTTCTTAAAGATTTTATTTATTTATTCATGAGAGACACACAGAGATGCAGAGACATAGGCAGAGGGAGAAGCAGGCTCCCTGTGGGGAGTAAGACGTGGAACTCGAACCCAGGACTCCGGGATCATGACCTGAGCCAAAGGCAGATGCTCAACCACTGAGCCACCTAGGCATCCCTATATGGAGCTTTTCAGCATCTAAGTGCCTCAGAATATTTCTTATATTATCTTAGTACTGTAGATGCCCAGTGGAAATAGAAAGTTCCAACTTAAGTGAATTTCAGATAAACTAGATGTCCATTGTTAGGAGTTTCAATTACCTGGCAGAAATTACTTCGTATGGTAGAATCTGTAGCTTAAAATAAGTGGCCAACCATTTGGGGAAATACAATCATATTTAATTGTCATGGAATTTCTGTGATTCTGAAGAATCATTTTACCTGTATTCAGAAAAAAAAAAAAAAGGAAAGAAGTAAAATACGTGTTTGCATGTGTGGAGGACGATGGCACAGTTTTTCAGGCATATGGTAATTAGCCACAAGTCTGATCAGCCACCTTGAAAACTCTAGTCCAAACCCTGATCATGATGAGGGCTTGAGCGGAGAACAAAATTAACAACTTGTGGGATCTCAGGTTCCATTTGTAAGTTAGGCTGTCTAGGGACTGGAGGATCCCAGGTGAAGTGTGGACCAGAGAGGCAATCTAGGAGTAAAGAGGGTCCCTATGAAAGAGTCCTTTGGGGTTCAATGAGGGAGTCTACCTAGCTAGGTCCCATCTATTTCAAAAGCAATTCTGGGTATCA